GAATGTTTCTGCCGGTTCATTGCTCTTCTCTTCTTCTTTACCTTGAGCTTCTTGACATATCGGGAACAGTTGTGATCCTCAGTTGATGTCTCAAGACCACTTTCTCCATCGAGATGTACTCTTCGTGAGGGTTGACCAACATCATCAATGTCGTTGAAATTGTTGAATCCGACTTGAGAATGTGTCAATAGGTCGTGGATCTTCGATGCATGATGACATTCATGAGGAGTGCATTCGTATGTTCCAAGATCAACGTAGGGGATGTTGTCATGGATTGTCAAATCAATACGTTCTCCATTCTTCGTAATCATGAAAGGCATCTGATCAGATGGCCATACAAAGGAATATCCTTCTTCCATGCATCGTTTCCCAAGAGACATCACGGACGGAGTGTCGTCCAGTACATAGGCATGAGAGGCCACATCAAAGGTTCCCAGGTCAATCTCTGCTTCTGTCTGAGTAGCAGTTGAACCGTTGGCTGTGTGGAACATGATAGGATCACAAGTTCGCTGCTTCAAGTTCATCCTTTCGGCTTTCCTTGCAGAAATCAGATCATGCCCGCTGCCAGAATCCAGGATGAATCTACGATCTTTGGCTTGCACTGGTAGTGAAATGCATATTATGTTCTTGGACTTCATGAGGGAGTTTCCAACTTCGTGTTCAACAAGCTCTTCAATAAAAGTCAAGTCATCACGATCATTGTCCAGTTTGATCAACATGTCGAACTTGGGGCCAATAATGATTCTAACTTCATCAACAAAACGATGGAGTCCACATCTGTCCATGATGATAGCCTTGGCCCGTGCTCGGACTGAACCGAGGGTGTTGTCGGACTTGGACTGATCGTCGGTCAAATCATCGACTTTCCAGAAAACATATTGCTTGTTGGGGTCACGATACATACGTTTGGGTAGTCCCTCCTGGTAGTCCTCAATGGCGATCTCGTGCACCTCAGGTTCCAGATCAAATGAGATCCTGCGATCATCAGAAGACTTCTTTGCACTGGCTATCCTCGGTGAGGTATAATCCATGGAATCTTCATTGTCGCTATCAAAGAAGGAATCAATGGTAATGGGAGTCGCCTTCTTCTTTGGTGTCTTCTTGCTGGTTCTCTCTGAGGATGCTGAAGGCGATTTATCTGCATGTAGGAATTTACATTTGTTTCCGAACTTGCAGGTACCTTCTTGCCAATTCCAACATACCTTCTTTTTGGGTCCAGCTGAAGATGAACTTCCTCTACCTTTCCCTCTTGATGAATCTCGACTTCCGCTTCTGCCTTTCTTACCTTTCATCTTGGCATCATAGACCTTCTGAGAATGACTGTAAAGACATTTGTCACCTTTGTTGCATCCTCCTTTATTGAAGAAGTAGTTACAGAAAATCTTCTTCTTGTCAACGGGTGAAGATGATCTTCCCTTCCCACCTTTGCCTTTCTTGTTGTTCTTGTCGGCATGGGATTTCGGAGAAGGTGTGGGAAGTACCGATGCAGCTTCACTCTTCGCTTTCGCCTTAGGACGTTTGGGAGGATCACCTGTAGACGATGCAGCCGCTTCATTCTCCTTCTTGGTCTTGACGGGAGCGGCAGGCTTGTCTGCATCTTCTAAGGCAGGTGTCGTCTTGTTAGAGGACAATGACAGTTTCACTGCACGTTCTCTATCTTTCAACAGTCGTTCTTGCTTCCCTCGTGCTATGTATCCCTTGATCATACCAGTTAGGTAAGCATAGGTCTTCTCATGATGCCCTTCATCAAAGGTTTTGTATCGGTTGACATCGAAGGCCATAAGTTTTGAATGTTCAATCTTCCGGAACAATGTGTCACGCAGGGAATTGTTGGAAGGCAGATCATCATGTTTCATATTGTATACGATGTCAAGCCACTTGTTGTAGAAGGCCTCAAGTTGGTCGTCTCCATAGTAGTTGAACATATACAAATGATGGGCATTGTAGAGAACTTCAGTGTGGTCAGGTGACTTGAAGCTAATCAATATCATTGCAAATAGTTCTCGTCCCTTGATGAAGTCCCCACTTCTCCCATACAATTGGTTCTTCATGGACATGTCATACTTCACTTGCATGGACTTGTCCCCAGCATTGTCAATGACTTTCCTCAAGGCATTGGAGAGCTTGGCATCAATGGATTGGAATCTCACATCAGGAGCTTTGGCCAGCGCCTCCAAGTCAGGTTGATCTGCAAGACACGGAGCTAACCACGCCTTCCAATCTTCATAGTTTCGATCTCCACTTGCAACGCAAACTTCATGAACGACACTTCCCTTCCAGGATGAAAGTTCAGTGGTCTTAGGCCAGGGTTGGAGGCTGATCTTTTCGGCTTCTCTTAGAGATACAGATGACTTGGATCTATCCCTTCGAAGGTTCTCCAACTCCTTGACATTTGTGTTGTACTCGTTCCTGAGCTTCTCGAAGGCTTCAGCTTCTGCTCGGTATTCCTGCTCTTCATCATTGGCACGATCTTCAGCTTGAGAGAAATTGTTCTTATAGTAATCTTTACGATCTTCCATCTTCTTCAACTCATCTTGAAGATTTCGAACTTCAGCGTTCCTCTCTTGCTTCATCTCGTCCAACTCTGCTTTCAGTTTGGCACACCTCTCTTCACATTCATTCCGAGGCATGGCATTACTGGGGTACCCATGTAATGTAGTCGGTCTATTCATTGATGAAGAAGAATGAGCTTGGTTTTCCAACTTCAGGGCAGCAATGGTGCTCGACATTTCTTCTACCTCAGCGTAACGCTCATTGGCCAATTGATGCATCTCGGTCAAATGGCTTTCAGGAATGGAATAGTCAGTCGCACCTTTGATCACGAGTCTTCTGTCGTTCAACATCTTGATGGACTTACCTGCATCCCTGTGAGCACGCTCAAGAGAGTCCTTTTGGGCTTCAAGTTCAGTATGAAGGCGAGCAATAGCTGTATCCCTGTCATTGAGTTCATTGTGCAAACTGTCAAACAAGGTACTCGTCACATTCGGATTGTTGCTCATGTGATCGATCTTGTTCAGAGCATCTTGATATTTCTTACCAGTTTCATCAAAGTTTCGCTGGAAGACTTTGAGCAGGTCCTCAGTGTCAATGAGTTCAGATCTATTCTGCAAGTACAACTTGTCAACTTCGGCCTTGGATTCTTTCAAGCTGTCACGTTCACGCACGGCTTGCATGTACATCTCGTATAGAGGTCCTCCATGCGGTGATCTGCTTGGTGAAGATCTTCTGGCTTGTTGACAGGAAAGTTCATGATACTGATTCTTTGATTCAGTCAGTTGCTGTTGCATTCGATCTAAAAGACTTTGTTTCATGTGTAGTTCAGAACGTAGTCCCATTATCCTCATGTCCCGCATGCCACCTGATTCAGCTAGAGATTCTTCAGAAACCCTGTTCTCAGAAATCGCTAGTCGAGATTGTAAGTTCTCACTGTGGATCACCTGTAATCGAAGCTGTGATTCTTCCAAAGCTAAGTGATGTTCACATTCTGCATAACGGTCATGTTCAGATCTTATGTTACTACGGAACTCCTTCATGATCTCGTCCCTCTTCATGTCAGCAGCATCTAACTCAGTTTCCAGTCGCCTGACATTCATGGCCATGGTGTGCTTCATCGTCTGGTTCTGATTGGCAACCTCGAGCATCTCGATCTGCAAAGCACATGTTTGGTCATTAGCATAGCCGACTGCTAGAGCTTCTTGCTTGGCATTCATCTCTGCGTTTTCCAGTTCCAGTCTGAGTTGATTGATGTGAGCATTCGCGTCAGTTCCCACATGTACCATAATTGCGTTTGCTTGTCCCATTTGTTCATCGAATTCCGAACGTAGTCGTGAATATTTGAATTCCAAATGAGATGCAGCTTCATTCGACATAGTCTGATACCTTTCCAACTCTTCGATCCTGTAGGTCGCACCTTCATCTTCCTGTTGTGCAGCCTGTAACTCGAAGTTCAGCATCTGGAGTTGTTCGGTCATCGACATCATCTCTTGATGAGTGGTGCTTTCCAGGAAATTAAATTGTTGATAGGCATATGCTGTCGTCTCACTCAATCTTGCCTGAAGTACAGATTCTTCTTCAGTGGCCCTTTCCAGTGATGTTTTGTACTCAGTTAATTCACTCTGATAGGCAGTGAAGATGTCGCTACCACTTGACGGGGCATTCACTTGCTGATAAGATCCTGTCCCTGATGGAGTAGCGTCCTGAATCGGTGAAGGCGGATTCGACGACGTAGTCTTTGCCTTAGTCCTTGGAGTCATCGGAGGCGACAATTGTCGTGCAGATGATCTTCTCTTTCCAGGTGTGCTGTCCCTATCTTCAATTGCTTGCATTGTCGAAATTTGTCTCCCTCTAGGAGCAACCAGATGTCGCCTGGGTTGGCTTGTTCTCAGTTCTGAGGCATCGCTTCCACCAGTGTCGATACTCTGACTGCGTGCCGGCAGCTGGTGCAACGGCATGTCCAGAGAAAGAAAATGCATTATCGCTGCTATCCTGTTCAGTCATCTGTAAGGCCCGCGGCTCCCCGCTCGTAGGCTCCGTAGGAGTCCTACGGCTGATAACCTGCGAATCGGGGATTGCCTACCCGATTATGTTCCAATGGTTGATGTTGAGAATAAATGTTCCAGTTCGACGACGTCACACGGGCAGCTGCTTCCGCATTGCTGATCTTTTCTCCAGTGCTGCAGTGGGTCTTGAGCCAAAGAGGCCAGTTCGGATTGCCCCTTTGGTGCTGGATCACAAAGTGTTTAGTTGTGATATTATACTTGATCCGTAGCCTACACTCTATTCGCATATTACATATATATATACATACATATATATATACATACATACATATATATAATTATATATACTATACATGCATATATATATACATACATATATATACATACATATGTATATATATATATACACATACATACATATATTGGCGATCTCTTAAAACATGGTGGACCCCCAGATTCATCAAGATTCCTCACCATGTTTCTTTCACAGGGCCGGGGCACTGTAGGCGAAGGCCAGAGCGATGCCCACCACCAAGGAGCTCATAGCGGCCGCCTGCACCCAGCTGTCCCAGCTGTCTTTTGGATGGCCAAAAAACGTGGAAAAACGCTGGGGAAATGTGGGAGTTACCGGATTTACCCTGAACATGCATGAAAATGCTGGGTTTATCACGGTTTATCCAACACACATGGTGAAATCATGGTGATTTGTTTAAAGGTGATTTATAGCTAAGTTGCTTGAAATAACTCCAAGAACTCCTGGTTTTTATGGTGGATAGATCAAACTCATTCATGGGGGGTAATTATAAACCAACTGATATCTGGAGAAATGAGATCCTAAGCTAGATCGTACAGTATATTGATTGAATCATGATTAATCCATAAAATATCCAGCATTAGATATTATTCTAGCCCTATCATCATATCCCCGTGAATCATCTCCCACTTATATCCCTACTATTATCATATCCCATTAATTTATACCCCTTTTGTTACATCATGTTTCACAGGGATTATATATTTATCTGCCATGATTATATAAATGATATTCTGTTATATTATCAATGATATCTACGAATGATATCCAACATTAGATTACATGTATATATAATGATATATGTGATATATGTATAATTATATATATACACATATGTTATATATATGTTATACATGTTATATATGTTATATATAACATATATATATATATATGTTATATATGTTATATTAATCATCAAGGATATCCACCATGACTGGTATATCCCCACAGTCTCCCCAGCCGCAGCCCTCCTTGGCTTGGATCGACTTGCACAATGTGGCCACTCTGAAGGCCCAGAGCTCCAAGGCTTTCGACAGCATGCCTGGCACGGCTCGCTAGGGATCCTACCCGGCCTGGTTATGACGTTTACAAAAAGCTATTGAAGCCATGGCCATAGAAATAGATGGTTTACCCAGCTAAATAGCATGGGTAAAGTGCCAAAAAATATGGGGATGCAGATATAAAGTGATATACCATCTGGTTATGACTAACAATTTGCTATTGAACATGGCCATAGAAATAGTGGATTGACCCAGCTAAATAGCATGGTGATTTTTTCCATAGCTATGTTAAATTACCAGAGGGTACGGTGCCAAGGTCGTGCCAAGGGCCAAGGTTGAGCAGTGTCGCATCGGGAATCTGAATTTTGTGACATCTTCTAATATCGTTAGAACATGGACATGACTCATTGATGATAGGAATTTACCGATAAATCTAGAATGGAAAAAAAACATTGAATTTAATGGGAATTTACCAACTACTGCATAATTGCTAATTAGAATATCGTGGGAACAAACTGGAAATATCATATTGGAATATCTAGTTGGAAATTACCATCATCGAACAATATAATAGGGACTTAATAGTGTTATAGTAATGCTATAGTTATAGTGCAAGGGGTATCCCCGACTTCTGTGTATCGTCCCATTGGATCCAATCCCGGGTAGCCATTGAACATAAAATTGAACTATATCCCCATAAAATCCAACAAAAAACCATATCTATTCAATATGATTTCACAATTATATATTATATGGGGATATACCCAGTTTTGTAGGGGATGACTGGTAGCCATTGAACTTTATACCCATTGAACATATCGAATATATGACTGGTGGCTTCCTCGAACCATCTCGAACCTCACAAATGCCATCAAATGCCCCACTCAGCCAGGGCCGTGTGAATTAGTAAAGAGTCCACCAGGGAGATGTACGTATGACATATCCACTTAGATTGACTGGTGAATTCCCCATCATTACCCATACTAAAAAACCACTTCTTCCTCAGTGAACACCGTAGAACACCACATTGCTGAGTGCCTGGTGTGTTTTCGGGGTTGTCGTGGAAGCCGACTTCCTGATTCGTCAAGGGTCAAACATCCAACAAATGGTGATGTATATAATCAATTATATTATGTTACTAATGGGGTCCGTCTAATATGTATATTCAGTCATATTTTATCTAATGTTGATCTAACACAAATGTTATACATTATACAAATAAATTAGATCATAATTTGCAGAGCCATCTGTGTGGATGGGGATAGAATGAGTAAGCCACCCATATTGATGTAATCGTGGGGATGTATCTGGATAAATTGGGTCAGAATTCCCAAACCTGGAAGCCACACGTCTTCGGTCTGCCCACCCGCCGAAGCAATGGTGAACAGTGTCCAGCAACGTCGCGACGTCTCAGGTCGTTGCAACTTGCCCAGATATATCCCTGTTTGTTTGTTGCATGAAACCATCCGTTTTTAGGGGTCAATAACATTCATAAATCAACATGAACATGAAATTGAGTGTGGCTGGTTTATATCCTCAACAACTTAACATAGAACCCAAACTGCGTTTTTTTATCCACATTGTGATGCTTTTTTTTTGCCCAATCTTTGAATGCTCAAGTCATTCCTGGTCCACATTTTGATCTTCCCATGTTCTGTTCCCATTCTTTGATGGTTAATTCCCCGAGCATCGTCCCATCCCTATTTTTGGTTTATGTGAAACCCACCATTGAAGCATATTGAAGCCAATCTAAGCACTGAGATATTGAAATCTATAGTAAGGTTAAACACATGGGGAATTGACATGGGGAGCATAAATAGAATACTGTAGGTGATAGGGGTATAATGATTATTGAACACCCCCCATTCTATGATCCCAAATATGTGTTGTTATCCCCTACTAAACTCCATTGTGTTTGGGTGGTGTTTAATATTTGGGAAATGGGATTACTGGATCTATTTTTGTGTAAATCACAATCATATCCCTATGCAGCTTTTGTTACTATACCCCTATCATATCCCCCAATGATGTCACCGTGATGTCATAACAATATACCATTGATGTCCATGCTGATAGAAACTATGATACCCCCTGGTAAACGTTTACATAGCTATTGAAGCCATGGCCATAGAAATAGTGGATTTACCCGTTAAAAATGGTGATTTTCCATAGTTTACCCATTGAAAATGGTGATTTTCCATAGTTACGTTAGTTCACCAGAGGCTAATCGTCCCTATAATTTCTCACGTTCTCCATGATGATTCCCAGATCATCATGTTGAGTTATATCTTATTCTATCCTCCTATGGCATCATGAACCGTATAAATTACCTATAAACCCACATAAAAAATTGGTGGTATAAACCCCCGGTGGTTGATGATTACAGGGAGTTACACTACCCAAAAAAAACATGGGTATGGAAAATATCATTGCATAATCATCAAGATCTTTGGGATTTATTACTACCCAATCAATTTTGGATTATTTGGATCATCACGGTTTAGTCCCCATCGTTTCAGTTCCCCAAATTATATCCCATATATCCCCATCATGCTATAAGTCGTGATATCCTCCTATGCCATCAGTACCCATACAGTGGGATATTAGAGTAGGATACTCATATTACATTGAAAGTTCATTTGAGGGTTTCCACAAAATGGGGGTACCCCCAAATCATCCATTTATAAATGGATTTTCATGGATTTTCCATGAAATAAACCATCCAGCTATCGGGGTCATGACTATGGAAACCTCCATATCTCCCTATTCAATCACCATTGAATCCCTATTAGATTCTTAAATCACCATTAAATCATATTACTATTACAGTAGATCCTTTTTTTGGGGTATCCCCATGATTCTCCATGTATGCCATATATGGCAACATTTACCATCAATATACCCCAAATGTTAGCATATGTACCATACATGGATCCTATGGGATATTGAAGCTTCCATTCCCCATCTGTTCCGGCTGCTCCCCACCTGGCGGAACATGGAGGTCAGAATGGTCACGCGCAAGCGCTGCGTCATGGCTTCGCCCAGGATGCTGAAGCAGCCGTGCCTCAACGCCAGGGGATGAACGAAAAACTGCAGTGAAACATGGGGTGAAACGTCTAGAACAAGGGGTTGAAATATGAAGAATATATATATATATATACTGTATATAGGTTTTGAATGGTTTTGACTTGTTTTGAAAGGAGAAGAGGGGTTTGACCCAACAAAAATGAGTTGATGGGGACATTTTCTCAGGAAATTCTCTGGGTTTTTATCCTTCAAACATATTGATTCAAACCATTGACTTTTCCTGTACATATTTCTTTGAATCACCGAAAAACGCTGGTTGCACTCGTCCTCACCCAAACGTGGTGTAGAGTAGGTACTCGGTGAGAAAGAATCGAAGCAAACAGCTGGAAAATCAACTGTTGGATTGGGTGAATCGTATGGAACGTCCTATCTTTAACAAAGAGTACCCTCTGGTAAACATACAAAAAGCTATGGACAATCACAATGTTTAATGGGTAAATCAACTATTTCTATGGCCATTTTCAATAGCAAACTGTTAAATTACCAGAGGGTAGCTTCCAAATCTCACAGAAAATGCGGCTCAAACCAAGAAAAATGTGAGCTATCTTGAATGGGTCGCACGATCCAATGATGGAGGCTTACTTGCATTACCCAAGGAATTGTGTGTCTGAAAATGGGTCAAAAAGTCTCCAAATCCTAATTCTAATGGGAAAAACATGGATAAACATAACATATACCAATTTTCATAGGGAAAATAATGATAAACATTCATAAACCATGAGATGCACCGGGTGCTTTCCCCTGATCGTCTCGGTGATTGTGGAGCTGCAGTGTCATCCACTGGTTAAGAACCGATTGCCCAGGATCATTTTAATCATTCCAAGCGCATACTATAACACTCTGGAATTCAACCAGTAGTTTCGAACATTATTTAATTTGCTTACAACCATTCCCAAATCAGACATGTTGGCCGATTTGGGGCTACCTCACCTTAATACCCATCACTTATTGGGGCTCCGTCGTCCAACGCCGCCTTTCTGAAATTCACCTAGGTCTAAGCTGGTGATTTTTTTCATGCCACGCTTGGAGGCCCAGTCATGATATGATCATCCAACATAGCTATTGAAAATGCCCATTTATAGTGGATTTTCCCATAAACAATGGGGATTTTCCATAGTTATGTTAGTTTACCAGAGGGTATGTGTATATTTATACACGATTTCTGATGATTTATCTGCTCGACATGGTGGATTTTCCATGATTTCCAAGTTGCGTTTTAAACGGTCCTGCCGAGCAACGAGATGGTGCTTCCGATCAGCACGCTGACGCCAATGATCACGAAAATGATCTCAGCCAAGCGTTTCGACAGTTTGGCCAAACAAAAGGAGGAAACGATGAGGAACGATACAAAAGAATCTGGTGATGTCAGTTATGTTCTGTCTGGTTTTTTAATATGTTTTGAATATATCTCAAGACCAGCTTCTGAGTCGCTTTAGCTATATCCAGACGTGTTTACACATAACATTTGTGGCATTTGTAGGGATTTTTGAGCACAACGAATAAACAAAACAGTTGGTGATTCAACCAGCACCACCTGACAGTTCATCCCCATAATACCGTTCTTTCTTGGAATTTGTTGACCCTTCTCAGCTGAACGCAACAGAATCCCATGGCCGCCTTTTCACCGAAGACCATACCAGGCCGCCATTTCGTCTTTCTTGGGATGCCAGTGTCGCTAGTGAGGCGGCGAGATTGAGTTCAAGCTTTATCAAACTTTGTCAACAGATAGGCCCAACATGCCCAACCCTTCGAAAAACTTCCGAAGATGTCCCAGTGGCAGCCATCAATTCCAATTCGCTCTTCATATCTTCCTGGAAAAAGGTGGAAGGTGCCCGGAGTGGATGTGAACAGGCCCCACGTGGCAAGCGGCAGATTTCACTGGTGGAAAATAGAAGCTTGTAGAATAGGTTCGAGTAGCGGTTGTATGGGGATTTGATCCTCCAAATTCGGAATGAAGAAACAAGACATGTGATCAAGTGAAATGCGATGATTTTTGTTCAACAAGGACTTCTCTAATGGCGATACTCCCAGAAAGTACAACTAACCTATCCCATAGGATCCATGGTGCTGGTATATATGCTAACATGACTGGGGTATATTGATGGTACATGTTACCATATATAGCATACATGGATCCTATGGGTATGGCAAATAAACAATTTTAATGGACAAATCTCCATCTACGGATTACTTTCCCACTGAAAACACGGGATTTCAACTGGATAGATTTTCAGCAGGCGACACCAACTGCTTAGTTCCCATGTGATATTGGTGGTTTTCCGGTCGAGAATCTGTGCGGAGTGGGGCATGCGGCATGGGAAATCAAGGAACAAAGGTGAATGACTGAACTCTTGTAGAACTGAGCGAAAGAACCTGATTTTTTAAAAAAATCAGAATCAACTAACTTATAACCAGATTTCATCAGAATCAGCTACAGTAACTTATAGTATCTTATAGTAATCTCCAAAAAGATCCCAAGTTCGATCTTGGGGATCCATTGGATCCCAACTTGAAATTCAAACGTCATACGACTGTCCATGCATGCTACATATATATATATATACATCAATTTATTTTGATATATCTTTTTGTTATATATTTATAAGTTATAAGATGTTATAAGTGTGTATATATGTATACACTATGCATTTTATCTATGAGGCTCAACATATAGGTATACCCGCAACATGGATGGAATTGATGATGGAATCTGATGGAATGCTGGGGGTAGAACCTCATACTGTTGAAAGCATTGGGACCATCCAGCATCTCATTTCCCCCAGACTCTCCAAAAAATATCAGACATGTTTCTCCTGCAGTTTTTTTTTTCCTGGGGGAAATGGAATTTTCCATGGGTCTGTCATGGTCTGTGGGAAAATAGGCCTGCTTCAAACCCCACTGTTCCCATAATTAATCATAACTGGTTGGTGGTTTTAACCATCTTGAAACATATGAGTTCGTCAATGGGAAGGATTATCCCATATATTATGGAAAATGAAATTCATGTTTGAAGCCACCAACCAGATAATTCTACATGCCAAAAGAACGAAGTCAATTTCCCATGGACGAGACCCCGCCATGCGCGCCTTGTTGGGAAGGAAAAAGGCATCCATTGACCCCACCAATGCCACGGTGCAGACCTTGCTGATCCCGTAGTCACTTGAAGCACCAGGGATTGATGGTACCATTTACCCTCTGGTAAACATACAAAAAACTATGGAAAATCACAATGTTTAATGGGTAATTCCACTATAAATGACCATTTTCAATAGCTATGTTAGTTTACCGGAGGGTAGATAGGGTTTTTATGGGGATGATATATACATTATGATGGTTCTGAACCATTTATTCATGGTGATTTTGGATCATTTTATGGGGATGGTTTATTAATATCATACATATTATATAATTTATATATAGATTTATCGTGGGTTTACCGCAGAACAACGGCCGTGAAAATAGTGTTCATGATACCCTCCCTTAATTTAACATAGCTATTGAAAATGGCCATTTTTACTGGATTTACCTATTAAAAATGGTGATTTTCTATAGTTATGTTAGTTTACCAGAGGGTAACAATCACAACAACACGCCCGTTGTTAAAAAGTAAGAAAACCTGGCCTATCCTGGCCCAGTATGAAAATTGGAGGTACCAGCAGACTTGGTTTCATCTCTTTGCGCAAAAGTAGCCAGGAACCTAGCGCATCTGACAGAAATTCGGCATTTCCCAGCTTCTACGTGAGTTTTTCATAGGCACCGCGAATCCGAGCCATGCCACGTAGGCTGAAAGCTGACGTATTATCCCCCAACATCCACCAATCAATCGACCATCATTGATCAGTACATACATATCCACATGAAAATCACCATATTTATTATCCACATTTATCACCATATGAATATCAATCAACCATCATATTTATCAGTAATATCCACTTATATCCACTTATATCCACTTATATCCCCATCTATTTTGATCCTTCAACCCCTTACTGACTCGCCAACCCACAACCCGGGCCGCACCGGCATCGCCGAGCCGTCGATCAGCGCACCCAGAATGGCGGGGATGAAGAAGGGCCACTCGGGCTTGTTGAAGCTCAACAGCCGACCCATGGGAACCTCAGCTGAGACAAGGGAACCTGGCGCTATATGTACCATGGCAGAAAGGGGGTGGTACTAGATTTAGGCAGGTGAAGTCAAAGTCATATCAAAGTCTCAGTTTTCTTAGTGGTGACATCGCAAGTCGCAAAGTCCCAGTCCGGGAATGTGCAGCATGCTTGTTGGTAAAAAAAAACGCATTGTTTTTCTTTGGTGAGACATTCGCATTCAAAGGAAACAGCCTTTGAGATATTCAGCTCCCTAATTTCTAGGAAATCTAGTTGGTTTTATATCAACATGTTTCAACCCACCCGCACCCCACAAAAATGGCACCCCAAAAAACAGTTAATTATAGTCCCCCAAAGACATCATCAAATATATATCAACACATTCTCAGAACATGTGTTAGCAACCCAGAACTTTTCTTGGCAAAAAAATCACATTCTTTCTTGGATACGACTACCGATCAAGTCCTCCTTTATAAGAAAATATAAGAAACATATTTGCATGTGTATTGCTATACACAAACACACCAACATATCTCCAAAGTCAACAATTGTATGCATTGTGTGGTAAACCATCCCCGTGTTTTATTGGAAAACAAACAACACAAAAACAACAGACATTCTAGATATACCAATCCCGTTCATCACACTTGGCTGGCAAAAAAAGAACAGAACTCTATTCATTAATCTCATTACATATATATATATATATCCAATTGTGTCACATGTTTTGTTGGTTACAGCCATTCCCTCTCTTACCACAATCGTGTGTAGCAAACGACACCCCAAAAATAGTTTGTTATATTTTGTTGGTTTATATATCCCATTATATATTATAGACATTACGTCCCTCTCATATTCCAATAGATATTGAACCATCCGAATACGTCCATGAAAAAAAAGGGGCCTTAGCTTAAATCCCAACACATTGCCACTTGTTTGGCAAAGAACACCATTTATGTTGGATATATCCCATGCAACATCCCACTCTACACCTATATACAGCGATATTGTTGGATTTATAACATATATAACAATCCCTTCTTCATATTAAACACCGTCCAAAGTCACCATTGTGAATGCAGGGGACGACATCACACATGACTGGGACCATTGACCATGGGCGTGCAGCGAATATGAACGGGGGATGGATTAGACCAAAAAAAAACATATTTATCTGGTTGGTGGTTTCAATCCCCATCTATCAATGGATGATATGGATGGTTTATAGTGGAAAATACCATTACTGTAAAATATGGATGATGACTGGGAAATACTGGTTGGTGGTATACCTACCCCTCTGAAAAATGATGGAGTTCGTCAGTTGGGATCATGACATTCCAAATATATGGAAAGTCATAATCCATTCATGTTCCAAACCACCAACCAGTTATATATATATAGATACCCTCTGGTTATTTAACATAGCCATGGTATAGATGGCCCATAGAAATAGATGGTTTACCTATTAATAGCATGGTGATTTTCCATGGCAAACTGTTGGTCATAACCAGATGGTAATCATCCCAAACAGAAATTGGAGAGTGAAACCTGTACCAAACAGTCGTACCAAACAAACAAAGGGGTGTCGAACAGTCGAACGCAGCCACTGCTGAGCAGTGCTTGGTTACCTTAACAATCCCTTCATATTAAACACCCTATAGATTCCCGAAATCACCATCTCTAGCCACGATATAGAGGGGATTAATGTAAAACTTGGGAATTAGCAAAGAAGAGAGGATGAAATTTCACCATTGGGGTGTAGCTCATATCATATCATATCATATCCCATTAAACGTTGGTATGGTTGGAGGTAAATGAAGCAAATCCCATCAACACAATTGCCATCTCAACAAAGCCAGTGGAAAATCCACCATCATGTTATAATTAGGCTTAACTGATGTTGGATATATCATATATCTAATCTACTTTAACCATCTTTAACCTACAAACAAAATCTATGTCTATTTACCTATATACCTACCTATCTAATCCTATCTATCTATATATATATTGAGCTATCTACCCCCTATGCTCATCAGCCATCATGAAAAGAATCATATCCCATTCAAGCTGTTGGTATCTTTAGTGAATCTCAAGGCGCCTTGTACTCCTTGTCGATCTTTTTCTCGCGTTCCTCCTGCTCCTTCTTCTCCCTTGTCACACGTTGCGTCTCGGACTCCTGGATATAGACACGGAAAGCCCATGGAGAAAAGGACACATCTGGGACGTGTCAACACTGGAAATTGGAATCTTATGGGCAAAATATGCAGTAATCATTGGATTGGTTTAAGGGAAAATCTACAGGAAACCATGGTTTTTACCATCAAATATAGGGCTTTCCTGTAAAATTTCCCATCATCTAATTCTATGAAGTAAACATGGGGGGAGTTCGATTTCACATCATGGGATTTAAGTGGAAGGAACATCCATAGTGAAAAAGATAGGTGACTTCCCATGGGATCAAACTCCTCCACTGAAGACCGAAGCCAGAGCTGATTTGGGCTGAAACTTCTCCACCCCATGATTTCTTATCATCACCAAACCGGTCATTGCAGGTAAACCCCTGCAAAGTGAGACGCTTATGAAACACACAGATATATATATATATATATATATCAATATATACATATTATATATATATATACATAATATCATAATATATGTATATGATCAAGACCAGTGGTTTCGATCTTCAAGTTGGACCCATATACAACCCATCCTAACATAGTAATATACATGTAATATCCAATATGACATTGTACATTAATGTACATTATATATATATATATTATATTATATTTAATTCGTATACATACATATTATATATATACCAAATATTGATACCTTTCTATACTTTTCGATACTTTTTTTCGGACTTCCAACTGGCGCCATGGCCGGTAATCGGCCATCCCCTGTTCTCTTGATTCGCCGAGCATCGGCACTCTCAGTGGACTGTCGACGGGTGAGCACCGCAGCGGTGTGGTCGTGGGGAAGGGTCGCAGCGTTGATCACTGCCTCGTCCTCCTCTTCGTCGTGCTTCTGGGACGACTCCTGGATGATCTGGATTTCGGACTGGCAATTTTTGGATTCCGGATTGGATTTGAAAAATTCATCCAGCATCATCCAGCTATTGGGATACCTCCAGCTATTGGAAATCCGCGTGGATGGATACTTTAGGACCCAGATTAGGCACTGGAGGATGAGGTTGAAGTTTTAAGTCAATGAATCTGATGGAGGTTTCTCAGTAGAGTCTAAGTAGAGACTCTAAGTGAAAACCATGAAATCTTCAGTAAAGTTGGGTATGTACGAAATACCCTCTGGTTATTTAACATAGCCATGGTATAGATGGTCCATAGAAATAGATGGTTTACCTATTAAACATGGTGGATCTTTCCATGGCTATCTTCAATAATCAAAGGGTATCATTGTTTGAGTTGAGCAGTGAGCAGGCTGTTTTTCAACTCAGCGAATGTGTTTTTTTCATTGCGGAGAGAACACTCCTGGGCTGCCACCAGGGCGTAGTAAGTTCCTTTCTTCTCCATCAACTGACTGTGGTTACCTCGCGTCGCGGCATTCCAGGCCGAGCTGCTTTGGATTTTTTTGGCCTAATCCTACAGAAGAGGTCTGTAGGTGGACAGAAAATTATGATTTTCAAGGAACGTATAGGAAAAACATGGAAAATCCCTCAACACTGGTTGTAGAACAGTAGAATCTCACAACAATCGTGATATGGTGGGCTTATTTTTCGGTCAGATTTAAAGATTTAGTAGGTGGATAGTAACCATAGTCTACAGTAACCCTACAGACTGATACAACCATTTTTGACAGTGACTGCTGGTACCTGGACAGTGAAGGAGCATCAACTTACCATCAACATCATTGACATATATCCCAATATATCCCAATATATCCCAATCTCAAACACATTCGCCTTTTTTTCCGAACACATGAATAGATTGAATAGATCATCTCAGAGATCCAACTTGATCCAACCACCAAAATCAGGGTGAGTCTAATAGTCTCTACGACTCGAGATGCTGCGCTCTTCATTTCCTAGGGATTCACCGTTTTTTTTCAGATGCACCCCGCTGGTTTTGGCTGCTACTTTTGTATCACATATATAAATTGAAAGTCCAAATCAGTCTAAATCATTTATATCAATAGAGAAGTTAACTAATATCAGAAATACATGACACATAAAGTCACATAAGTCACAAAAGTAAATGAACCGGTTTTGGCTGTTCGAGTTAGACTTTAACTATATTCATCGAACAAAAAGAACTGGATGATCAATTCCGCCGTTACAAATTGAGACCTGGGATCGTCCGAAAAGGCTGAGATAACTAGGGGACAAGATGAGAACCTATGTCGCAAAAATACAAAACAAACAGCAGCTATGTACAGATTCATGTCTGTGATTCATAATCACGTGATTCATAATTATTTTGTATTGATTGATCCTCATTTGGAAGTTCAATGGCGGAAAAGTATGACAAACTATGCTGACTGGTTTGTTGATCCCTTGCTACAAGTATATAATAATTGTTCTTTTGGTAAAATTAATCTAATACCCATCAAAACCCGAAGACGCTAAGCATTTAAGTGTCGGGCTATCGTCCATCCAGTATTAATACTGAGATTTTGCGGCAGCCTATCTCTTTCATACAGAAACCCACGGAGGTGGTACATAACATGCTCGGGTTGGGGTGAAAAAATGTGGACGTCTTTTTTTCTCCCGGCCGCCTCGGTAGAAATCAGAGGATGCTAATCAAACGAGAGCTGACACTGAGACTTTTCAGAGTGCTTGGCAGAGTCATTTGTTCAAAGCTTTCGCCAAAGTGAAAACCATCGCCGAGAGCCAAGCTTTGCAAGGTGCTTGGCAAGGAAACTCGTTTAAGGCTCTGGTTGAAGTTCGCTCCAAATGTTAATGTTTTCAAGCTGGAGGGCAAAGTCACTCGTTCTAGACTCTGATTAAATTCTCGCCCAAAAGTCAAGCTTTGTAGGGTGCTTGGCAAGGCCACTCGTGCAAGGCTCTGGTTGAAGTTCGCTCCAAATGTCAATGTTTTCAAGCTGGAGGGAAAAGTTACTCCTTCGAGGCTCTGGTTGAAACCATCACCCATAGTCAAACTTTGCAAACTGTCTGGCAAATCAACTCGTTCAAGGCTCTGGTTGAACTCATCACCCACGGTCAAGCTTTGCAACTTGCTTGGCAAGGTGACTCCTTCAAGACTTTGGTTGAACATTGCACCCAGTTTCAAACTTTGCAGGTTGCTTGGCAAAGTGACTCGTTCAAGAGATTTGTTAAAGCCATGACCAAAAGTCAAGCTTTGTAGACTCACCGGGAAGGTCGCTCCTTCGAGACTGGTGTTGAAATCATGACCAAAAGTTAAACTTTGCAGCTTGATTGGCAAGGTCACTCCTTCAAGGCTCCGGTTGAACTGAAAACCAAATGTCACGCTTTGCAGTGCGCTTGGCAAGACAACTGCTTCAACGTCTGATAGCGTCCCACCTAGGGCCAAACTCTGGAGAGATCTTGGCAAATTCAAGGTTTCAAGGCGCTGATTGAACCTGCTGCCAAAGGATAAAATCCGCAAGTTGCTGGGTAAAATCACTCGTTCCAAACTCTGACTGAATTCAACACCAAAATGTAGGCATTGAAGGCTACTTGGCAAAGTCACTCGTTCTAGACTCTGATTGAATTCCCACCCAAAAGTCAAGCTGTGTAAGGTGCTTGGCAAGGCCACTCGTGCAAGGCTCTGGTTGAAGTTCGCTCCAAATGTCAATGTTTTCAAGCTGGAGGGAAAAGTTACTCCTTCGAGGCTCTGGTTGAACTTCATTCCAAAAGTCAGGCTTTGCAGATTGCTTGGCAGAATGACTCGCTCGAGACTTTTGTCAAACTCACAACCAAACGTCAAACTTAGCAAGCTGCTCGGGAATGTTACTCTTTCAATACTCTTGTTAAATTCAAGACCAAAGTTCAAGCTTTGTAGCTTGCTTGGCAACGCCACCCGTTCAAGCCTCTGGTTGAAGCCCGACTCAAAAGTCAAGCTGCGCAGGTTGCTCGGGAAGGTCACTTGTGAAAGGGGTGGGCTGCGATGACAATACTCCAAAGTCAAGGTTTCAAGACTTTGGGGGAGATGCTGCAAATACAGAGCTGCAAATCCTTCAGGGGTATGCTCGTCCCAATCATCATCAAGCTGCTCCAAGGAAATCCTGGCTCTGTTGTCTTTCCCTGCGATTTGCGTAAGGCCCTCCAATGCAAATTCTGGCTCCGCGACGGGCAAACCTGTCATAAAATTCCAAGCTGCAGGCAAATCTGTTGGAAGATACGTGCAGGACAACGTCGTCTTCCCCGCCTTGGATGAAGACTTGCTGCTCTGGGAACCACGGTTAAACAAGCAACAAAAGCTGAGGCCCTAGGAATTGCTCCAGGCACCCCCCCCAAAATAGAACATCTATGAACATCTTCATTTATAATATACGACTTCCCATGTCTAGTGGATTTCCTTCAAAATCAACCAAATCGCCAAAACATCGACAAAAAGCACCCGGCCTCAGCCCCAATGCCTTGCTGTTGTAAGCTTTGGTCCAAGCGCAGCTGTTTCACCCCGTGGTATAGCACCGGCCTGGCACCTTTCTTTGGAAGGCGCCTGGCCACCAGTCGCTGCAGCTCGCGGCCCTGGAGGTCAGGGGCGACCTGCAGGGTCCATCGGTCACCGTTGAGCTGGAGCACCTGCAACGCGATGTCCCCAGCTTCGCCGTAGCCGGAGCTGGACATTCTTTCGGGGGTGTTGGGGATGTCAAACCTCCCAAAAAAAAGGTTTCTTAAAAATGAAAGAACTGGGTTTGACATCCCTAGATGTTTCTTTGGGGGGTGTTGGGGATGTCAAACCCACATTGGAAAAAAATGAAAGAACTGGGTTTCTGGTGGCAACTTAAAGAGCGAACAACTCTGAGGGGTTACGTTGACAACTATAGGGAAACAAGCAAGTCATGTCTGTTGTTTTTTTTTCAAAAGTGTGCCTACCGGAGCTGTTGGGATCTTTTGGGCATGGCACCGCGATGTGTAAAGCATGTTGTTTATTGTGTCTGTATCATATTAGCCATTGTTTTTGTTGATGTAACGATGTCAGAACCTGGCTTGAGCCAGTCCGCTGTCTCGTGTCATGACCTTCCCTGCAGCACCGCGCGGCTGGAGATTTCCTATCATGGGGATACCCGCAAATCATCCATTCATAGATGGATTTACATTATAGGCCATGCAGCTGTTGGGGTATCCCCCGTTTCAGGAAACCCCAGTCCATCCACTGGTTGATCATCATCCTCGAAAAAAACCCTCTGGTAATGACCAACAGTTTGCTATTGACAATTGCCATAGAAATAGTTGATTTACCTATTAAAGATGGTGATTTTCCACAGTTATGTAAACGTTTACCAGAGGGTAATGGGCCTAAAGTGGGGTGAAGTTTCCATTTTTCAGAGGCCAATCATAAGTTCTATCAGGTCTTTTAGGCTTCGGCCAAGCGACCCTTCTCCACAAGACTGCCCCGACTGAGCACGTAGATCAGGTCCGAATTACCTCAGATTTTCCCCATGTTTTTCCATCGACCCTGCCATGAGTAGCACTCTAAAAAGGTTGGACCAAAGGTAGGGATTCTATGGATCGACCCAAAGTTGGAAATTGATGGTACCCGGCCTGGTCAACGTTTACAAAAAGCGAACTGGAAAAATCCACCATATCACCATGTTCAATGGGTAAATCCACTATGTCTATGGGCATTTTCAATAGCTTTTTGTAAACGTTTACCAGGCCGGGCATTCTCTACCAAAACGAAAATTTCATATCTGATCCTGCGTCCGTGTGTAAAGGATCCAAAGAAAGTCCATCTTGAGAAAGAGAAACTTTCGGGTCTTTAGAGGCCATCGAAAACCGGGCTTGTCCAAGAATCTGGGTAAATTATAATATTTCACTCACCTGAATAGTTCGGCCATTTGGGGATGTCCCATATAAAAACCATGATTCCAGTGGGAGAACAGGGTTTGGTCGTGATGAAATTTACCCAGAAGAATCGAGGATTGCTAGTTTAACAGGGAACATGATTGTCATCATCAAAATAACTGTTAGATGGATCTTGATCCCACCATATAGCTGGACCATCATGTTCTGAAAACTACAACCACTTTGAGACACTTCACTGCGTTGTTCCTAAGTACTATAGCAACCCCCAAATAGAGAAAAACTGAAAGGGGAGACAGCATCATCTACAAACCACTGGAAAAGAGTTCTATCCTTTTGGGCGTTGCTATAAGACACTTACCCTCTGGCACTTCAACATAGCTATAGAAAATCAGCATCAAAAAAAGACAAACCATAACAAACATAGCGAAAAATCACCATGAACCTCCCCATTAACTAACATGATCATGATTGAAATAACTGGCTTTAATGGCTTAAGCATAGCCAACTGTAACACATGACCCAGGAGGCCCATCAGCCGCGCGACGTACGGTGCTCAAGCGGTGAGCGATGCTGACCTCAGGGCATGGTCAAGTTATCATGGGATCGTCATGGGATCGTCATGGGATCGTCATGGGATCATAATAATGTCAACCCCAGATGAGACTAAACATTATTATGATATTACTATATATTACTATGGTTTATTAATCCGGGGTTGACATTATACATAATACCCATATTTAGGGATTATATGGGATTATCATACCAATATTTTAATCATACCATTGTTTATTAATTAGGGGGGTACCCTTCCAATAGTCACAATATGATACTTAAATGGTACCCCCCAATTAAACAATCTGGAGGTTTATTGATCCAGGGTTGACATTACTATAGATATCTATTGACTATAGAGACTTGATAGATATAGATTATAGATACCAACTATATCCAACTATATATAAATAGACAATCATGATAATGGAAGAGTCATGGGATTTCATCAACAATAGTTTGTTTTTTAGGGAAATTAACCATAGGGATAACAATGGGATGGCCAATACTCATGGGATTTAAAGCATAGGGATGATACTGGAATAATGGAATAATGGAATACCCAACCACAGGGATAATAAAATAATAATAATTAGACTTTGGGAATTAATGATCAACAATGGGAGTGAACATGGGATTATATCATGGGGTATGGTCATCCCATATCCATGCCACCATCCCCCATAACATGGGCTGTTGCTTTTTGGTCAAATCATCCAACCAACCGTTCCCGTGAACTTTCCTCGTTTTTTGGGCAACGTTTTCTTGGCGAATCCGTTGAAACATGTTGAAACCACATTATGCATTCATATCAATGGATGATGACTGGATGGTTGAATCTGGTGGAACATACCATGAAAATATGGATGATGACTGGGAAATACTGGTTGGTGGTTGAGCCCTACCCCTCTGAAAAATCATGGAGTTCGTCAGTTGGGATCATGACATTCCCAATATATGGAAAGTCATCATCCATTCATGTTCCGGTCACCACCAACCAGGTAATCCATGAATATTCCATTCATATCCACTAAAATCCCTGATTTTGCCAGGTGTTCTTGATCGATTTCGATGCCGCCGTGCAGCGATGCCCAAGCCATTCTCTGCTTTGGAACCTGGGATGTTAGTCATGGGGGTACCCTCTGGTAGTGACTAACATAGCTATGGAAAATCACCATTTTTAATGGTAAATCCACTATTTCTATGGCAATTTTCAATAGCTATGTAAACGTTTACCAGAGGGTAATGGCTGGATGGTTGACATTTCATGGAACATCCGAGAACATCCCACCCAAAAACGATCAAACACTGGATGATTTGGGTACCCATAGGCTGGCTACCCAAATCGGACACCTCCCAAAAAAAGGTTGGACAGATCCGCCTGGATTTTTTTTGGGATTTCCGGTCCGGTCCCCAAAAAAAGATGGCGAAAAAAAATGTTTCGATCCCAGGCATCCCAGGCATCCCATCGAAGAAGGATGTGATGGCCGCCAGGCGGCTGATGCTGTCGATGGTCTGCTGGATCATCTTCTCCGAGTTGTTGTCCAAGGCACTGGTGGCCTCATCCAGGAAGAGGAAGGAGGCCTTAGAACGTGCGGCTTTCCCAAGGGGGTGAAGAAAGGGGAGAAATGCTGGGAAAATGATGGGAAAATGCTGGGAAAATGATGGGAAAATGATGGAAAAGCACAGAGATTTTTGGAGAATCAAATCAGATATACTGTAATCAGCATTTGTCCCTATTGAAGTGGCCCTAAATTAGATATACATGGGGGTACCACTGCCCGATTGTCAAACAAAAACGAGTGCATGGCGGAGATGTTGTGCGGATGGCTCAACATGGGTCAAACTGCGACCCGTGTTAGGGAGATCCGACATGGTAGATGGTTTTCCCTCGGAAAGATTTTGGATTTTCCATAGCCATAGGCTGATTGCCAGGGTAAGAGACAGGAAACTGCTGAAATGTCATGGATTACCCTCTGGTGATGACTAACATAGCCATGGAAAGATCCAGCATTTTTAATAGGTAAACCATCTATTTCTATGGGCCATTTTCCATGGCCATGATAAATAACCAGAGGGTAAGGGTTCATGTACCACCGGCAACCACTGAAATTATTGGGCGAATTTTAAGCATATAAGGGGGTTGTCACCGCAACTGGGGTGGCCGAACAAACCAAGTTCAAGGGGGATGGGGTCCCAACATTGGTGTGGTGAGGGGGATGTGAACCAATAGCAGAGTGGTTTCAATGTTGCTTGAAAACTACCGTTAAAACCTTCTACTGCTGATGGTTAATAGATATTAAAACGTGTGTCCTCAATATCTCCCCATTAATTGACAGTCCATTATCCATGCTTTCACTATTTCCATGGCTGTAAAAATATTGTTTCCTTATGTTTTCTTCATATAATTATAATATTATACATATATATATATATTGTTTAGTCATTGCCAATTGTGTCTCCATAAAAGAATACCGATTTAAACATGATAATCTCCAAACAATTAGACATATACATATCTCCATTGAAATGTCATCTCCATATGTGTTCATCGTTCCCGATTTACTTATGTAATCCCATGTGATTCATAATATCACCCCATATGATTCTTAAAATGTCATCATCCCCCAACTTCACCATCCCCATATTATGTTATCATTCATTCATTGTTTTTTGATGGCCGTTTTTTCATCGCCCCGTCTTTTCGAATTTAATTTCCTCATTGATATAAACATATACATATATAAACATATATATATATATATTCATATCATATACCCTCTGGTAAACGTTTACATAGCTATTGAACATGGCCCAGTCGAAATAGTTGATTTACCCATCAATAGCATGGTGGATCTTTCCATAGTTTTTTGTATGTTTACCAAAGGGTATTATGTATACCCTCTGGTAAACGTTTACATAACGATGGAAAATCACCATGCTATTAATGGGAAAACTCACTATTTCAATGGGCCATTTTCAATAGCAAACTGTTAGTCATTACCAGAGGGTACATCCTTTCCATCGTTTTCCCATTAAAAATGGTGATTTGCCATAGTTTTCCCATTAAAAATGTTAGTTTACCAAAGGGTATTATGTATACATCTTGAATCCCATGGAGTCTTGGGCTACCGAAAGCTCCGCAGCTCCGTTGATCCCCAAAAAAACCTTTCCGTTCCGGCGCCGCGCCGCGCATCGCCGCGCCGCGCCTTCTTCAGCAAGGCCCGAGCGATGGCGATACGTTGCTTCTGGCCGCCTGTCCGCTTAGTGGTTAGTGGTTAATAGTGGTTAATAGTGGTTAATTAGTGATATATATATATATATATCCATGAATAGTGACTTAAACCTATAATTAGTAGATATTAATAACCATTAAATTTATAATATATATATATACCTTATATCATTAGTGGATTAATTTATAATCCAAGAATAGTGATGTATAACATTGTATAACCACTCATGGTGGTTTTGATGACTTTTTGTGGCTTAATCCCAGTGCCATAAAGCGACCCTGCGCCCATCAGGGCATTGTTGAATGGCTCGTTCATATGATGGGACCAACAAAGGGAGAAACCAGCTGGAACCATAGCTGGTGATTATGTCGCTCTGGAAGCCATGGCCGATTTTTTGGGATCATTTACAGTACTACTGTTGATGGAAGAAATCCTGCACCAGTTGATAGGTGGTAAACATCCCATTATAGGGTTTCAGCCATCCAAGGTGGTGCAGGATTTCGCAACCATCAACAGTAGTACTCCTTCAAATTAGGTGATGTTGCGTGTTAAATTGCCCAAATGATCCAACAATTGGGCCTGTGGTAAACCCACTAGCAATAGACGTGGGTTACTATTGCCACATAACATCAATTACCATTGGTCAATAATGTGCTAAACCCAATAGTAAACCGTACATGAATTATCCGTTTTTTATGCGAATGGTGTGGTCAATGGTCACAATGATCGGGTGATGGTATATTATCAATATATTATCTATGTAGTGGTAACAATGGCAATATCATGGAGATATATTGAGTATATTTGAGTATATCATGCATGTACTGGGAAACACATCATGGAGATATAATGATTGATGACGGGAACTGTTGGTAAATCCAGCCATGAACAGTTTACCATGGACGATGACCTTCAGCACCTTTAACAGTTTGCCGTGAAAGTCATGATCCGTTTCTCAAGTTCGATGATTTACCGTTTATTTTGATGATTCTCCAGTTCGCAAGCTGCGAACTATGGAGGTTTCTTGAAATGGATCCCAAAGTATCAAAATGCTCGAATGCCTACGATCCCATGCCTGACAACTGACCGCCACCAGCTCCCACGAAGGTGTTGTATTTTTCCTCGCCGCAGGGAACTCCACCATTTTGAGGTGAATCCCAACAACATGGGCCGCTTCCAGAGCTATCTTCGTCTACCAGACAATAGCCAAGCCAATTTTTGGAGTCCATGTTGGAGATCAGAAAACATGATAATCATAGAACAACAATTTCCTATGACATGGAATGAATCATATCCATATTATATCCATATTGTCTCATGGGCTATATCCCCATATCCCCAAAATCCCATCGTTGCCATCGTTGCCAAGGTGCCGGCAGGCTATCCACAAAACCCAGCTGGGCATCATCGCAGGCCTGCTGAAAGTCTTCCTGCGATCCGTTGAGAAACGGGTGGTCTGTCCATGGGGATTTCACCATAGCTGCCATAGCTGGTTGGTGGTTTCAATGGATGATGACTGGATGGTTAATCTGGTGGAAACTATCATTAAAATATGGATGATGACTGGGAAATACTGCTTGGTGGTATACCTACATGTTTCAACCTACCCCTCTGAAAAATATGACTTCGTGAGGTCGTCAGATTGGGATGATTTTCCATTCCCAACTGTTTCTGGAAAGTCATAATCCATTCATGTTCCAGTCACCACCAACCAGATAGGGATTTGCTAGGTCTCATTGGGGATTGATGTGGGAACCTGAACCTATGGGGTGAGCCAAGATTTGGGGGCATGCATCATGATTAACAGATTAACATTATTGGACCTCTGGAATTGATGGTTTCATAATGTTTATATATGTTTATATAATACATTCCAATTCCAATACTAGGGAAAACAACTAAACAGGGGCTTTTAAATCAACGATTGGATGTCACTTGAGGATCGGGATAAGATACACCCCAAAACGCTGCCTGGGAAATCTCAGCTATCGCCCGAAAAACTCTCCGTAGAGCGTTGCTTAGTTGATCTCCTGCCTTGGAGGCGTTGGGGAAGCCCTGCATGATGTTGTGTTTGATCGAGCTGGCGAAGAGCACAGGCTCCTGCCCCACGTATCCAATGCACCTGGCGCCCAGGTCGTTGGGCCCGTGGGAAAATTGTTTGAGGGGTTGGTCCGGGGGGTCTAAAATGGTCCAAATTCACTTGGAGCATTGACTCAACACGACAAAAAAGGACTTGAATTGACATGACATGTTCAGTTCTTAAACATCAAATACATCAAATACATCTTCTATCAACATCAATAGATCCATCAAGGACTTGAATTTTTCCTGGATTCGATCAACATCAATTTTTCATCACGATTCACGTCTGACATATTCAGTTCTTAAAACCCACGAAGAAACCACACCCCAGCACCATGGTGCCACTTTTAACCTGCCCGCCTGCGCAGGGAACTCGTCTTGAAGTTCTTCATGTCATGGCCGTTCACCTGGAAAAAAACAGCAGAAATGGCTGGTTAGTAAAAACAAAAATCCCCATGGCTGGTTGGTAAACACCGCATTAACCAACATGGTAAACTAACGAAAAGCTATGGGAAGATCCACCATGCTATTGATGGGACAATCAACTATTTCGACTGGGCAATTTTCAATAGCTATGTAAACGTTCCCCAGAGGGTAACCAACATATTCCAACATTAAACACACACACAGAAAGACATGACCAACGATGTCCAACCATAGGACGGGACATGATTTCTGCACAAATGCGACGAGTAAACAACTGCACAGAAAACTAAACTGAAAGACCTGCAATTGATGCAGAGATTACCATCGACCCAACCAACATGGACTTTGTGATGAGTTGGACTTGAAAGACTACTTTCCACGAAAAAATCGACCATTTGGTGAGGGTCATGTTCATTCTTTCCCATTCATCCATATTAACCCAGATGTTTCCCACAGTTGTTCAAATAAATCATACCCTCTGGTAAACTAACATAGCTATGGAAAATCACCATTTTCAATGGGAAAATCCACTATAAATGGCCATTTTCAATAAGCTATGTTAAATTACCAGAGGGTAAATCATCATAAATCCACCGTATTTTCCACAGCTCCAGCTTCACAGCCAGGACCGCCTGCACCACACCAGAGCTGGGGTCATAGAAGCGTTCCAACAGCGCCATGACCTCATTGGTGAATGGTCGGTTTGTTGATGCCGCGTCTCAACGTTCTTGCATGCTTCAAAGCCCCAACCGTTTCCAGCCTTCGCAACAAAAATATATGTATCATCCATTCTTATATTCTCATCCATTTTCCGGTTCAAACACTATTCCACCATATCCACCATCTATCACTTCCATCCATCACTTGAACTTGTGATATATTCTGATATAGTACATAATTCAATCAACATTCTGAATAATACAATAATTGATATATTGATAATTACATAATCCATGTTTCATACTATACAACACTAATTTATCAATTATATATAATCATGGATTATAGATAAACTTATTCTATATTATATTGATAATATTACTAATGATATTGATTATACATTCATTAATTACTATAAACAATACACATCGTCACCACCTGCTCATAAGTTTCTTCCCATCGTCCGGGGCGCCGTGGACTTGCCGGAGCCGGACTCGCCGACCACGGCGGCCTTCTGGCCGCGCTGCAAGGTCAGCGAGAGGCCGTTGAGGATCTTCACTTCGGGACGCGCCTCGGCGGCATGGCCCGTTTCTACGGGACTTCAATGGGGATTTCATGGTGATTTCTAGGGATTTCATAGGGATTTTCATGGGATTTCCTAAGGATTTCCGAGGGATTTCATAGGGGATTTATGGAGATTTCAATAGGGATTTCCTAAGGATTTCATGGGGATTTCCTAAGGATTTCAAAGGTGATGTCATAGGGCTTTAATGGTGATGATTGGTGATTCAATGGTGATTTTTCATGGTGATTTAACAAACAATCTGGGATGAATGTGATACAGCCAACCAAACCATCCGATGATTGGGATTTAATAGCTTTGTAGGGATTTGATAAGTTCATTGGCATTTATTGGGACTACTGAGATTTTTGGGATGTTTGGGATTTTGGGCATTAAATTGATTCAATAATCTAATAATGGATTTATTGGGATTTACTGTAGTGGTGCTTGATTAATCTAAGAATGGACATATCTTTCCTTGTTATTCGGTCATCGGGACTTAACGGTGACTTAACCTTGATTTAATACTTTTGATTTGGATTTCCTCAGCAAAGATGGTATAATGAGATATCCTGATTGGTTCAGAAGGAATGGATTTCCCGTGATGGTGATAATGGCCAAGAAAAAATAAGGATAGTATAGCTCCCGAACAAGTCATCAACAAGTGTTTTTGAACATTGTTCACATCAATGGGATGAAAAAAATCTTGAGCTCCTAAGTTTGGTCCGTCATCTTGGGTTCTCAGGGTTGAGATTTGAAGATTTTTTCACATCCAGCCTGGCACCAATATGCGACTCAAGCAACCGGGTAGAAGAAAGACACAGATTGGAATTCGAATTTCTCGATGCTGGTCAACTCCTGCCAGTCAGCTTCTGATGATTTCCGAGGTTCACGACTGAGGAAAGCCCATCATCCATCATCCCCGATAGATTGGGTAGTAACCAACTTGTCACTCAAGCCGCTAGACCAACCATTGACACATCCCCATGTTGTCGTTCATATACTGTGCCTACGAGATGCATCATCAATAATATATCATATCTTAATTAGCTGGTTGATCCATTTTTCGTCAATTACCATGCTCAAAAAAATACCTAAAGGGAACGAACACCATATATAATATATATTAGATATTAAACATTAAACCATCATATTATTTCATATTATATACATATTATCATAATATCTGGCACAATCATATATTAGGACCGATATTTGTTACATATCTGGCACCATCATTTATTAGATATTATACCATCATTATCTAACAGTATAATAAACCACTGGATGTAAAACATAATGATACTAAACCATAATGATATGATTGATATAAACCATCATTATATCCATTATTTATTAGATATTACACCACCATTATTATTTATCACCATTAAATTACATATTACATCCCATAGGATCCATGTATGCTATATATGGTAACATTTACCATCAATATACCCCCAATGTTAGCATATATACCATACATGGATCCTATGGGCATATCATTAAACCATCCACTGTTGTTTCTTTCCATCGCACCGGATGGGATTCCCCACTTCGCCTGCCGACTGTCCGTTCCACGGCATTGGATCGTGGGCTTGTTCTCCTTGGCCTCCGAACGTGACGTTGGGGACCGTTTTTCCAAGGGGAAACCCGTGGTTTTAGCATGGTTTTAACAAACCCCAAACTGGGAATTGTATGGAAAATGAGGATCTGAGTGGAGTGAGTTACACTAAGTTGGAAAAATCGAAACTGGAAACCGTGGGTTTTGGAGGGACAACATGGGACAACGAGCTAAACCTTGACTTCGTCAACCTTCTTGGAATTCATGTGAAGTCAACTATACTCAGAAGACACCCAGAAAACACAATATCATCGAATTTGAGCTCTACAATTATATAAAACCCAATATATGTCACCAATTTGTTGATTGTAGATCGATGATCCATATATATATAAACTATTATATATATATATAAATAACTATAATATATATATAATATCTATTATTATATTATATATATATTTCCATAGTCATGAGGGGTACTCCCCAAAAATCCTCCCATGGCCGATGGTCCCATCCCACCGATAGCCGATCCATCCACCTGGAAGAAGCGTCCGGCGGCCATGCGCGCCGCCTGCATGGCCTTGATGCTGGGGTCCAGGTTGCCAACCCTGCGACGAGGCGTGACGATGGATGGATGGCATGGGATGGGTGGCAACCACTGATGGGAGATGGTTAGTATAGCTGTTAATATACTGTTAATAATGGCTAATATAATATTATATGGTTAATATTAATGGTTAAGGATCTTGAATAATAAATATTAGGTTTATCATGGTTTATCAATGATTACTGGTGGTTGGTTTCAATCCCCATCTATCAATGGATGATGACTGGATGGTTAATCTGGTGGAAAATACCATTAAAATATGGATGATGACTGGGAAATACTGGTTGGTGGTTGACCTACCCCTCTGAAGAATATGAATTTGTCAGTTGGGATGATTTTCCATTCCCAACTGTTTCTGGAAAGTCATAATCCATTCATGTTCCAAACCACCAACCAATATTAGTTGATAGGTTGAGAACTTATAACTTGATACACTTGAAGGTAGAGCAACTTGATTTAAGAATCCTTACTTGAAGGTATAGAACAGCTTGAAGGATGTTGATGGATCTTGAAGATGTGCTTTTTGGGACTGGAACTTGGGTTTGAATGGTTATTGGTAACATGAAGATATTATGGATGATACCATGTTGGTGATGTTAAGGTGATTGCACTTTCTGGAAGTTGGAAATTATTAAATTGGAAGTCGCAATGGGGATGGGGACGATGTTGGAAGTTGGAACTGTATGGTTAGAGTCGGAACTTTAGGTTATAGGTTACGAGTGATTTTTGTTAGATTCAGCTAGAGCTTCTGACTACCTGCCACTGGAATATGTGTTTTCTGATACTGGAACTTGGGATTGATGGCTATAGTCACTGAAAGCTATGACTTCCAGCTACGCATTTGGGAAGTTCACCACCGTCACCATCATCACTGGCGATCTTTAAGGGACATGTAGTGGGCCTGTTATGGGAATCTTGGGGATGGATAAACCCTGTTGCCCTGGCAAGCTCAAACATGGCTATATGCTACATGAATGATGGTTATGGATGTCTGTCCCGACCAAAAACATGTCATCATCACAATGTATCACAGCATTTGTTATTGTTTCTCTTTTAACAAACTACTAAAGTATGACTTGCTAAACAAACACAACTCTCCCAGTTCCGTTCCAAGCGTCATGAAGCTGCCAATAAAGACGCAGAAGAAGATGGCCATGATGTTTCCTGGCTGCCATTCCTTTCCGGTGGAGGGGTTGATCGAGCCGTTGTAGCCTTGGAATCGGAAAGAAAAACCACTGGGAGACCAATTGAGCTATCTTCATGTGGAAAATGATGACGAACTATGTAACTATGGGATTTTCATGGATTTTCATGGATTTTCATGAGTTCTTCCCAATTGATCCTGTAGATTCCCTATTTCCTCTGGCAATAAAAATCGCTGGGAACATACCCAAAAAATTCCGCCTCAGCTCCAGGAAACGAAGAGTCATGCCGAACCAAAAGGCCAGGGCATAGCCGAAGAAAACGATCATCATGGTGTAGCCCATTCCCAAGCCGATCTTGAAGCCATTGCGGACACCGCCTGTGGATGACTTCGGCTAGGATGGGGGACTGCAGATGGACTGGGATTCAGGGGAACCCATGCGAGTCACTGGAGTAGATGTATCTGGAGTTGTTTTTTTTGAACATCTTCAAGAAAGATTTAACAAAGTGATCCACATTTCAGTGGTTTCTCATTGTTGTTCATAAATTCATAACTTGGGTATCTTCCTGTTTTTCTGGTGAATATCAATTTTCTATCTTGTTCTGCTCATTAACAGCTTATTTTTGATGTGTCAATCCTCATGTTTCATGGACAAAACCCCAATTTTGGTTCGTTTTTCATGATCAAACAGCTAAACATCATGATCATGTTGAAACCCATATCCTTCATCTTCAAATCACGTGAAATCCATTGAACTCTCCATTTTCCATGCTGAAACCCTCCATTCAAAGAACCCCAAGGGGACAACTTCCCACGCCGCCCGCGGCCGGCCTCGCCGGGCTTGCACCACAGCGGCCTGGAATTTGCTGAGCTCCTTAAACTCGCCGCCAAAGGCGACCACCGTGCGCATGGAGTAGAGACACTCCTGGTGGAAAACTGCTGAGGTTTTTCTTGGGGAATACTCCTGGTGTTTGGTGGAAAACTGGTGAGGTTTTTTTTCTTGGGGGAATCCATCAACAAGACTTGGTCAATCATAACTATTCTGAAATTTGATGGCTTTGATGGCTTAAATGTCTATACAAAAAGTTTGAAAACCGCGAATCATATTGGGAAATCTCTAATTCTGATATGAATTCAAATCTAGGACATGTTAATCGAACTATGGGAAGCATAGAACACTTGGGAAGCATAACGTGGTGATATGATTATGAGATATTATGAGTATGATATTCCTATATTTGATGACTCACATGTCTATTTCATGGGGAATCAACCAAGAACAATTGGGAGATATGAGAGTAATCAACTTATAAAAATTGGGTGATATATGGTGATATTATCATATATTATCCGTGATATTCCTACCTATTGAATGGTGGGCTAGAAACTACCAAGTGAAGTTAATCAGCAGACATGGGCGTGGAGGTTCAACCAACATTTGTGAAGCAACAGAAGTGGAAAACTGGAGCAGAAGCCAAAAAAAAGGACACTTAAGCAGAAACCGTGGGATATCCAATCAACGGAAATGGACGTTGGTCAAGTAGCATGCCTGATATCAGGACGTTCGTTGCATAGGAAGGAACGACCAACGCATTTGTAATGCCATTTGGTTTACCACAGTACCTCAATTAGAATTGAGAATCTGCCTCATAGGATTGAAAATACAACCCACAGTTTGTCTTTTTGAAGAATTGTTTTCTTTGGTGGTTTGCCGCTCGCTAAAGTCGTTCGACATTTAGTGACTTGGGGATGCCACGTGTTCACCCTCAAACAATCCCCATGTTTTGGCAATCCTTGTTTTTTCTGGGACAATCTCAACCGGAAACCATCGATTTTCCCATGAAGATCATGGGGCTTTCCTATAAAATCTCACGTGAAAACCAATCCATGTTCCCATAAACATTGGTCATGTTGGATTTTCCTAGATTTTCCATTAAATATTGGGCTTTCCTATAAAATTCACGTGAAAACCAATCCATGTTGGATCATGATGTCGACCAACTCACCACGAAGAAGCTTGCTTCGCGGCTCCTCGACGACTGTAGCAGCCTTGGCGTACCAACTCTGAGATTCCATCTGAATTTCCTGAACCGCCTGCTGCCATGGCGGGATATGTTGGGAGCCCCAAACTTGGAGGGAATATCTACAGGGAAAACCCCATATCATATTTATATATTTGGGGTGGGCAACAACATATATGGTTCCCTGGAAAATTATGAGCTTTACATTTCAATTCAACCAACAAATTGATTGCAAATTTCTTTCCCTCCAAGCGTTATGATTCCAAGCTGATGGGGGTTTCTTAAAACCAGTGGCGCAAGCCCTGAATCCTGAAACAGAACATTTCTGGTTGGTGGTATACCTACCCCTCTGAAAAATATGAGTCAGTTGGGATGATGACATTCCCAATATATGGAAAAATAATTCAAATGTTCCCAACCACCAATCAGTATAGTTTATAATTTATAATAGTTTATCAATGATCCACTAAGCTGAACATGGCTGAAATAAGGCACCTGACCTTTGGCCGGCCCCCCCGCAAGCACCAAAGGAGCGGTTACAATTCTCACCATTCCAATGGCGTCAACTCGGCTGCCTTTCCCATGACGGCAGCTCCAACTCCCATGAAGGGCAGCATGGCACACATCACCAGCGCCACGAGCCAACCTGCAGTTCGATCACCGTTGTGTCATGGTGAACTCCTCAGCCCATGGGGATTCAAAATTCAAACATGAAATCTTAGGATATCATTAATAGTACATAATTATTAACCATTGAGGGTTCATAGTATGTTAATTAATAGTATGTTAATAGTATGTTAATAGTATGTTAAGAAATTATCAGCATATTCTTAACATACTATTAACATATTGTGCACATATTATGAACCATCAAGGCCCATCAAACACCACTTTTGACCTTCAAACCTTGGGAGATAGATGGGGATGGGTCAAAAGGTCAAAACCCTGGTACCGTGCCGTGAACCCCAAGTCATAGCTGGGATTTATGGATGTTCATCCCAGTAAAAATGTATCTATCTGGGTAAATTATAATATTTCACTAACCTGAATAGTTGGGCCATTTGAGGATGATGTCCCATATAAAAACCATGATTCCAGGGTTCAGGAGACCAGTGAGGTCGTGATGAAATTTACCCAGATCTATAGGTATTGACCCATACCCAGATAGCCAACCGCATCAGAGAATTCCCAACCTCTGCACCAAGGGATACCAAGGCACCCAGGCCAAAGGCGCAAGCAAAGCCACCGATGAAGGCAGAGCCTGACATGATGCCGTTCCTTGGAAACTCCAGGGGCAAGGTGGCCATTTGAAAGATGCTCGGCCTGGTAAACATACAAAAAACGATGGAAAATCACCATTTTTCATGGGTAAACTGTGGGAAATCACCATTTTTAATGGGTAAACTATGGAAAATCACTAATAGGTAAATCAACGAACTAAATGTGCCATTTTCAATAGCTGTGTTAAATTACCAGATCTACGGAAAGTATTCGGCCAAACATGTTTGAAGGCTCAGGACAAACAAGGATATTCTTCTCAACAATATGATGATTGAAGCCAATTGAACCTTGGAACAACTTTCCAGCAGCCTTTCCAGGCGGAATTGCCAATCAGCTGCTAATCTCTGCAAAAATCACTCGCGTTCCAAGGTTCACCCAGGAAAATGGATCCCCCACATTCCCTCTCAAACCCTGGCTGGAAGAGACCACCCACATATTTCGTAGGAAACTTGCCGCCAAGCATCCCAAATTTGTCGCCAAATGCGTCCTGGATCTTCTCCTGAATTCCAGACCCCATTGGGATGCCAGGTCGAACTAAAAGGATGAAATATCCTCAACACTGAGATTTTACCACACACAAATTGGCATTTGGACGTTTGTGGATGCATGCAGTTGGTGTGGTTTCGCATTTATGCTACCCTGAAAAGGCTTGCAACTACTGTCCAGTACACATTCTACGTCAAAACTACAAAACGTTGGGTGGCGGGTGGGTTCATGTTCTGTTTCAGACATTGCCTAAACAAGGGGATGATTCCGGCAGAATCCAAAACATGCTTGACAGCAAAACTAATTAATTTGCATGTTTCCAAAAATCACAGCATACCCATTTGTATACCCCCAATAAATGTCAATGTTGTGCAATTTTCATAGGCAAATCCTGGGAAAATGAAGGACACATGATGATGAACCTCTGGATTTTTGACGAGTTATGCATGGTTTTCCCTGGTTTTCCCCTGGTTTTCCCTGGTTTTCCCTTGGTTTTCCCATACGTTTCAGCCGCAAACCCACCGGCGCACCAAGTCGTCGTTGATCTCCGAGGGCAATGCGGCGATCTCCTTGAGGTCGAACCAGCTCACGTCCTGAGGCGCTGAATTCATAACTGGTTGGTGGTTGAGCCCTACCCTTCTGAAAAATATATGGTTCATAATGGTTAATAATAATGGTTAATAATAATGGTTAATCCTCCATATATGGTTAATAATAATAATAATATATGGTTAATCATGGATTACATCATAAAAATAATGGTTAATAATGGATGACTAATGATGATTAATGATGATTAATGATGTCATAAGAGGTTACCCTCTGGTAAACATATAAAAAAACATCAAAAAACTATGAAAGATCCACCATGCTATTGATGGGTAAATCAACTATTAATTGATGGCTAAATAGAGGTGAACTATAGTTAATAATGTTAATTGAGGTTAAAAAAGGGGTATATACTATGATATAATTATAGATAATCATAGTTAATGGGGTTATAAACTATGGTTAACTAGGGTTTTTGGGGGATATACAGTAACTATACCTTTGTCTGTAGTAAGTTTAACTAGGGTTAACTACTATGTTCTTGGGTTAATAATATAATCAACTACAGTTCATAGATGTTAACTATGTGATCAGCTGGTTAACCACCAAGAATAGTGATGTTTCATTGGATTTATATTTATAGCTGATTTATGATAGCTAAGTTGGATTATAGTTTAAATAACTATAGGGTGTTAATGGGGTTAGAAATCAAACCATGAGAGGTTAACTGATGATTCACTACTTTGACAATTGATGTTAATTGATATTAATGAATAGCAGTTCATTCTTATTGACTGATGATTGATATGTTAATTGATGTTGATTGATGTTAATTATTACTGTGTATTGCATGTTAATTAGATCTTAATTAGATGTTATAAAAATAAATTTCAGAGGTCATCTCAGTACCCTGGTAACTTAGTACGCAAATATTGATCCAGAATGACCCACAAATTTTTAGGGATCGTTGCTCTCCTGTCTTCATGCATGGCTTAGATATGTTCCATATTTGTTGGTTGCCCAACACTATTCCATTCTATTTCCAGAGCAAGGATTAAGGATTCCCCTCATGTTCCAAAAAATCATCTGCTTCGCTTGAAGATCCCAATTTCAAGATGAGAGGTTTCCTAAGTCATGGGACTCCTCCAAATCATCCAAGTCATAAACGACCGTTTTCGTATTGAAACCCTAATGGTGAACTTGGGGATCTCGCCATGCTCCCAGGGTTTTTGTTTTCCCTGGATAGCTCCTGGTGGAGCACAATGTCGAAGTACTCGATGCGGAACTTGCGGGCCTCGAGGTGCGGAAAAACAGCAGTCGAGACAACAACTCCCAGTCTCAGTGGCCCCCCAGGAAGTGTCAGAGAAATCTACCTGTGGCAGCACCATCTTCCGTATATCCAACATCGGCGGGCCTGGTTTTCAGCGAAGATCTTGAAGCAGGCACCCTGCCTCAGGGATGTGGTTGCTTGAACATGTTGACAATCCCATCATAACCATTTCAACATGTTCAACCAATCAACATGTCCCATGAAAATCTCCCAATGAACATGTTGACAATCCGTTGGTTTGAAATGGGAGATTTTCATGGGACATATCCATTTAAAATAGAAGGTTTTTCATGGGAAAATCCTCTATGAATGGTGGACTTTCAAGGGAAATTCTCTGACAAGACCTCCATGAAATGAAGGAGACAAATTCGAATCTGGTCGGTGGTTTCAACCCCTCTGAAAAATATGAGTCGTTTGGGATTATTATTCCTATATCTATATATGGAAAAATAAACAAAATTGATGTTAGGTCACCCGCAATCAAACGTGGCAAGATAGAAAATCCAATCAATGAGGTTTCTAGCTGGGAAAGTCATCTATAAATGGTGGATTTTCCATTGCCATGCTTGATTACCAGTGGGTACATAGCAATCTTAGATATATCCCGCAAGAAATTTCATATCTCATGTCTAGATGGGATAAGGTATTCCCCCCTTTCTAAACGAGACACATTCGGAGAACCTCAGCAAAAATCTGGATCATTGACAATACCCTCTGGTAAACAGACAAAAAGCTATGGAAAATCACCATGTTTCATGGGAAAATCCACTAGAAATTGCCATTTTCAATAATTAGCTATTTTGACATAACCAGAGGGTACGTCGAAACTTTTGGATGCTCGCCATCCCACTGAAACTGCAGCTGTGGAATGCTGTGGATTTGTCACAATTTTCCCATGAAAACTGCCGTAACTTGGTCGTTTTAATCCCACCAAGTTATGACACAACTCAGAAATCGATGTAACATCCCATCGCATCAACCATTGTACACCCCATATGCTGAAGGAATGTATGGAGTATTTACCAACATTTTCCCCATATATGACCCAAATGTAGGTAAATATTCCATACATGGATCCTATGGGCACTACCATGCCTTGATTTTGTACAGTTTTAATCGGCAACTAATCTCCAGATGTTTCGCAGTTTACAGACAGGTCTGACAGGTCACAGGGTGGCGGCCACGATGTTTGCAACACCCACCAGGCACATGATGAGGCAAAGCCGATTCATCTCATCCATCATTCCTTAGCTGCTTAGCAGCTGAAGGGTGAAGAACAAACATGAGATATCATGAGATATTCGATATAGTCATTTTAGTTATTTTCCATGGTATTTCTGTAGAAAAGAGCTACAGGATTTCTGGAATCATGAGATTACTATATATGATCATATGTGTGATTCATTGCAGAAAAAGAAAAACGGAAATTGGTAGGTTTTTGGATGTTTTTGGTAGTAATTTGTATTTTTTTGAAGTTAGAACAGATTAGTAACTACCTCCTTCCTAAAAAAAATCACTCTGTAAATCGTGTTGCAACTAGGCGAGCCATTGGATTTCGATGGCATTTCATGGCATTTTTCATGGTATCTCCACGCTTTTTAAAGTATCGCTTGGATGGGTTTCACATGGTTTCACACCACTCTATAACTGGAAACCTACGGAAACACGTGGGTTTTAAACCTTGGTGAAGATCAGTGGTATCACGCACTGGAAAGCTTCAAGATAGGTGGAGTCCGGCCATCAGCAGTTTCCCAAAAGAAAACCAAAAAAAAGGAAAGCCTGGTGCCTTTTTAGTCTTCCAAAAATCCTCACTTCATCCCCACTTTGAATTTTAATTCCCATTCTTGGCGGCAAATTCCAATATTAAACCAGCCAATACATGTTGGATGATATCTATCCCACAGAATCTCCTGGAGTTTTACACATTGCTAGCAAATCCTCAAAAAAACGACAAAAATTCCAGCAAATCGCCATCCCCAATCCCAAGATCTCATCGTAACATCCCATATATTTCAACGTCCACGAACATCGCCATAAAACCACCCATGTCCCTCATAAAAACCGCCAAATTTCCTCATAAACCCGCCAAATGTTCACCATAAAACCACCAATTTCCGCCATTCAACCGCCAATTTTTCACCGTCAAATCCCACATCCAACGCCGGAGGCGCCATTCATGGCGCCCTCCATGATGGCCGCCTGCTGCGCTGGCGTCAGCGCCGCATAGTCCTCCGGAGTGGCGCCCGACCTTGGCAGTAGAATTTTTGGGGTGATTTTCATGTCCCAGATATGAAAATTAGTCATGTTTCAGATAAAGCTATCATGATTTTTGGGTGTAACTATACTCCTCATGCTCAATAGTTTGGTACTTGAATGTACTTGATCACTTGTTAATTTGATACATGATCAAATTTTGGTGTCATGTTCAGTTGGTCAAAGAGAAGAATCATTCAATGTTTGATGATATGTTCAGACATGTTACAGTAGTCGTCAGTCAGAAAAAATGATTTGTTCAGTAGTTAGTCTAAACACATAAATCACCATCCAGTTGTTGATGATTTGTTCAGTTGTTAATTCCAAAAATGACATCATCCAAGTATTAGGTGGATATCCAAATAATCCCCACTGGTTTTGTTAATTTTAATCCTCCAATTCGTTGCTTAAATCAATTTCAAGCCGTGCCCGAGTTCATGGTGGTGTCCCCTTTTTTGGCCACCAACAAGAGGATGGGGATGAACAAATCATGGGATGATAGCGCCTTGAGATGAGTTTAAAAAAAAAAAACATATTGGAAAATGGCCTCAGAAGCAAACCATACCTAACCATTTGCAGAATTCGATTTCTGTGGGACTTCTTGACCATTGCCGTTTGTGCTTTGCACATGGGCATCAACAGCATCCAATTCTCACTATGAAAATGATCGTCATAGATTCTCAAAAGTATAAAGTATATAATACCCTCTGGTAAACGTTCACATAACTATGGAAAGATCCACCATGCTATTAATGGGAAAATCCACTATTTCGACTGGGCCATTTTCAATAGCTATGTAACAAATTACCAGAGGGTAATACTATATGTTCGTTGAGAAAATCATCAAATCATCGCCGTATACTGTATATAATGATCACCATATATACCATACATGTTATTTAAGGAGATACAGTAAGTACCTTATTTGCAAACACACCCGCCTCATGGGATACCGAGACGCATGCCCATGCCATCGATGAGATCGCCAAAAACGATGCACATTAAAGGCTGCGACACGCCGTTGCCAATGGCACCTGTACAAGGCAAGGAACCCTTTTGGAGCCCAAGGAGTCAAGGAAATCCCGAGTTTTGGTCATTCCGAATTCTCAGATTGAGGTGTGTGGTCTATCTTAATCTATACATGGCAGTGTGTCAAAACCTTGTACCCCTGGTGAACATCAAAATAGCTGGTAAATGGATGTTCATCCCACTAAAAATGGTATCTATAGGTATTGACCCATACCCACATTCCATTTCGGGTGGCTTTTTCACTGGACGCTACAACGACTGGATCCCCTTGGGGTCGCACCGATCATGCCCAGCGTCAACACGAAGCCGTCCAGGCCGTCCATCATGGAGAAGAGCTTGCAGAGCGAAGCCATCTTCCTGGTGCAGTGTTCATATGATATATAATGATGTATATATATATATATGTATATATATGATGTATATATATATATATATGATATATGATGTGTATATAAATATATATATATATATATGATATAGTGATGTACATATATATATATATTTATTTACATTATAGTAAGATAATGTGTTCATTAATATATATAATCTATAATAGTGATAAGTGGATAGTATGATTTCTAATAGTATGAAGCATTGTTCTGTTCACAACCCAGTGTTCATACGAAAGATGGTATGTTATAGTATTACAATGTATTATCTATAATCATCGTGGGTTATGTCATACATCTATAGGACACAATATATCCTGGTTGGTGGTTTGTGCGAATTGCATATTCCCTATTTAGCATTCATGTCATGACTTTGCAATTGTCATTTCAATCAATGGGCATTTCACCATAGCCCTTTTTCCAAGCTCAAAGATCGGTCGGAAGACCGGTGAATCCAACGTGAAGGACTTTGGAAAGAGAGTTAAAAGCGCAGGACCACTTGTCTGACCGTGGAGGACTTTGTGTGTCTAACGCAAGGAGTTTGAGGTGTGGACTAGTACCTGGCTTTTCTGGCCGCAGACGTGTCAGGACTGTCAGTGCTAGTACCCCCGATAATATTACCCGGGTGAACCTGTCGCGAACAGGTTATGAGCCCAACGCATGGGGACTCTGCTGAAATGATGCTCAGAAGAAGAAGGTCTGAGCCTGATGATGAAGAGTCAAAGAAAGACCAAACAGCGTCAAGCACCCGGGCAAGCGCGAGGAACCAAGGGGCAGAGATGGCTCTAGTGGCAGTGGATAGGGAAAGGGTTGGAAAGCCTTCACCAAATGGTCCTGTTGGGGAAGATATGAAAACCCCCTTGCCAATAGAAGACTTTCCAGCAGAACCTGTAGGATCCCCTAAGGCCCTAGGACCTAGGAACCTCCAGCCACTGTTCAATGAAGCTCAGCTAAAGAAGGCTGAGGAGCTCAGGTTGAGTGCACCACTTTTGCAGGGCCCAAGCCCCACCGCAGTAAGCCAGTCCACCGGCGGATGGGATGGGGGTTTGGCGGCAGGGAAGGTGGGAATGGGGAAGGAAGCTGACATGTCAGAGGGACCATCAAGGAAGGGTCCGGAAGTCTTGATGATGTCACCAATGGGATATCCCTTAGCACCTCAACATGGTTATGGATACGTGCCACACCCCACACAACAAGGAATGTTTGATGAGATGATGTGGCAGTTTCGACAAGAAATGGGACAAATGTCAAAGTCTCTCACCCAGCTTCAAGAAGAAAATTTGAGGTTGAGGATTCAGCTTATGGAAGAACGAGAGACTAGATACACAACACCTCCCGATGTCACTCCTGCTGAAGGTCTCCTTGACAGCGCCCGCCGTCAGAAGGTTTCAGGAAAGAAGCCCAAGTCCAAAGGTGTAGAAGCCAAGCAGGAAGACTTTGAAGCTTCGAAGCCAAAGGAGGATGCAAGTCGAGGAGAACAGGAGGCTGAGACCCCCAAAGCAGAGGAGGAAGTGATTGGAAGGAAGCTTGAAGAAGTTTCTAAGGAGGATGGTCCAGCTGGACAGCAAGAGTCCAGTGAGGAGAGTCAATCGATTCAAGAAGAGGAGTCGGAAGATTCAGTGAATGTGAAAGATCACAAAGGAAGATCAAAAAAGGAGGACACCACAGTGGACGTGATGCTCAAGTTGATGCAAGGGATGCAATCGCTGCAACAACAGCTCTTGGATCGAGAGACGATCAGGGGCCGACGGCTAACAGAGGACGATGAAGAGGAGCATGTGAGGAGCAGTGTAGAGCTGCACAAACTGCCGGAGTGGACAGCTGAGAATGCTCCGGTGGACTTACAGGACTGGTTGCTTCTCATCCATGCACAGATGTCGGATCTCACTACCAGCAGTTCAGAATGGTGGGATCTAGTGGTTGAGACTGCGAAGGACTGGTACCACAAACACCAAGCCATGAAGCCCATCGACAAGCTGAAGCATGAAGTCAGGGCACCACCGCAACTACAGCAGAAAAAATGGAGAAGGTTGGAGAAGAGAGGAAGCAGTTTGCTTCTTCAGGCCTTGCCCAGTAGTCAGCGTGATGACATTGTGGCAGGGAAAGACCTTTCAGTGTTGGCGATTTTGGCAAAACTCCTCAACAACTACCAGCCTGGTGGTTCCCATGAAAAAGCAGCAGTGCTGGCCGCTTTGGAGCTGCCGGCAGAAGCGGTGGGGATCGGCGAGGGCATCCTGGGACTACGTCGTTGGTTGAGATGGAAGAAAAGGGCAGAAGACATGGGCCTTCAGTTGCCCGATCCATCGGTCCTTTTGAGGGGCCTGGACCGGCTGGTCTCCAAGATTTTGGCTGGCAATCCAACCTTGCAGTTTCGCATTAACCTGACGAGGACAACACTGATGGTGGATTCTGTGCCCACTATGTCTTCCATTGACCAGTTGGCCGAATGCTTACTGGCTGAGATGGACCAGGTCTCCTATGCCAAAAAGAAGGAAAAGGCAGCCATCGCAGGAGTTCCTAAAGCTCGGAAGATGGAGGAGGCAGGAAAAAGAAGCGAAGTGCCTCAAGCCAAGAAGGGCGATGAGGGTAAGAAGGAGATGCCAAAGTGTAAGTACTTCCTGACGGAGAATGGATGCCGTCGAGGAAAAGCTTGCAGATGGGATCACAACCAGAAGGATGACCAGCGTCGCTGCTGGAATTGCGGGTCCACAAAGCACTTCTCCAACAAATGTCCAGTGAGTGAGGGCCAAGGAGAAGTCAAAGTGGCCAAAGCCGAAAAAAATGGCGAAGCCAGAAAGAAGAAGAATGATGAGGAGGACAATCAGTCCGAGCGAGCAGTTGCTGGAGCGGACGATATGAAGAGTCTACTGGAAGAAGCTGGAAAGATGCTGAAGGTGATTCCAGGAGCTTCGCAGGAAAGCTCATCGGTTGAGGAGACCGGTGATGCCAAAATCAGGAGACTTCAAAGACAGCTGGATGAGCTTCGAGCTTCTTCGGTGAGAGTGCTGCGATTGGCCAGGGTCCAAGCAGCTGTGGAAGATTTGGGACTCCTTGACAGCGGAGCTACCCATCCTCTTCGACCTCCAAAGAAAGATGAGGATCTGTCCAAATGTCAAAAGGTGAGGATCAATCTGGCCGGAGGAAAACAAACAATGATGATGCTTTCAGAAGGTGGTGCCATCATAGGCTCTGAGGATGTGGAGCCCATCGTGCCACTGGGAGCGTTGGTGGAGAACTTGGGTTGCTCTTTGCAATGGACCGAAGGCCATATGGTCCTGTATCACCCCTTCAAGGGGCAGATTAGCACCCAGCTCAAAGAAGGTTGCCCGATGATCAACAAGTCTGATGCTTTGGAGTTGATCGAGGAGTTGGAAAAGAAGGCACCCGAGCTGAGGAGTGTAGAAGGATCCGCAGCTGAAGCCTACATGCACTGGATGAAGCGCTTGGTAGAAGAACACCCAGCACTTCAAGGAGTTCCAAAAAGAATCACAGAAAGGTTGGTGATCAGCCCTAAGGAAGGACATATCACCGGAAACCGAAGCCGAAGAAAGCTATGGAAGAAAGAAGGAGGTGTGACGTTGTACCTCTATTCAGGACCCAATGAAGGGTATACTATGGCCAAGGCCATTCAGCTCCTCGGAGGAGAGAAAAGAAAGGTCATAGCGGTGGACATCAAGAACGGAGCCAAATGGGGTATGATGGAGGATGACCTCTATGCTGAGCTCATGGACATGGTCATCAAGGGCCAAGTGGAGTCCTTGGTGATGTCTCCAAATTGTCGCACTCGCTCAAAGCTCCGACACTATGAAGTTGAAGGAGTTGATCTTCCTGGACCGGTCCGAGAGTGGAACGGTGGAGAATGGGGAAAGAAGGGCATCGGAGAAAGAGAGGAGAAGAAGTGCCATGAGGATGATGTGATGCTCTTCAGAGGACTCATGCTCTACATGGTTGCCCAGGAGATCAGGAAAGCATCCCGCCACACCAAAGACATCGACCTTGTCTTTGAGCACCCCAGCACCCCGGCAAACATGCCACAGGTGGTATCGTTCTGGTCCACCCCCCAATGGCAAGCACTCAAGCAAGCATACGGCCTGTGGGAGATCCACTTAGACCAAGGGAAGCTTGGAGGAGGAGGGGTCAAACCCACAACGTTGGGCGGCAACTTGCGCATGCAAGTACCCAGCGTGGTCGTACCAGCACCACAACCTCGATGCACACATGGCAAAACAAAAGAGCAGATAGTGCAGGAATCCCAAAACCTTTCCAGATGGGTCCCTCTGCTTACCGACATGGTAGCATGCGCCCTGCTGGAGTCCCAAGGGATCACCCCGAAGTTGAGATCCTGGAGGACACATGTCCAACGATGCCACCAGCCTTTCAGAAAAGACTGCAAGGTATGTCAAGAGGCTGCAGCAAGAGCGAGACCTCACCGGCGTCAAAAACTTCCTCCAAGAGCTGGCGTTCTTTCGGTCGACATCGCCGGACCACTCACCAAAGCTCCAGACCTGGGCAAAGACCATGCTCGTTTTGTCCTGGTCGCGGCGTTCACCTGGCCTACACGCCTGAAGGGTGACGACTTAGAAGAGTTGCCCGAGGAGGATGATGAGGATGATTTCCCAGGATGGGAAGAAAATGAGGAGAAACCAAAAGAAGAGATAGGGTCCCAAAAGCCAGGAGCCAAGAAGCGAGGCAGGCCACGGAAGAAAGACCCTGAGGAGGAGTTTGAGGAGCTGCTGAGAAGAGAGCAGGAAGAACAGAAGCAGAAACGGCAGAAGGAAAAGGAGGCTGCAAAACCCCCAGGAACTGAGGAGCCCTTAAAGGAGGCCGCAGAACCCCCAGGAGTTGAGGAGCCCTTGAAGGAGGCTGCAGACCTCCAGAAGAAAGATGATGATGAAAAGGAAGGGGACTATATGACCCGGGTGGCGCCCGATGTTGAATATGAGCCCACTGAACCGGGCGAAGACCCTTTCCCACAGGTGCCAGCACCAGATGTCCCTGAAGAGCAACAGGCACAAATACAAGTGCACCGTTTGGCATTCCCCTTGCCAGACAAGAGAGGCATCACGATCTTGAATGCCCTGATCGATGCCTACCTCACCTTGAGGAGTGAAGGCATGTTTGTCAACCAGCTCCACTCCGATTTAGGAGGTGAGTTCACTGGAGCGTACATTGAAAAGTGGTGCAGGGAAAGATGCATCCTCACAACAACAACCCCAGGGGTATCCCCTCAAACCAACGGCCGAGCAGAAAGGGCCGTACAAGCAATGAAGACAGAGACGAAGAAAATCCTGCGTGGCGCGCAGGTGGGTATCGAATGGTGGCCGATTGCTGTTCGATATCTCAATGAAGTATGGAAGAGAAACAGAACAGAGGCCATTAGGGCCATCCCACCGTTCATGTCCAAAGTGCTGATCAGAAGAAGGTATTGGCGCACAAAGGACATGGAACCCAACAACGAAGAGGTTCACTACCTCGCCCCATCCTGGCGGAACTATGGGCATTGGGTACTTCGCTCAGACAACACACAAACCTTGACCAGGGCTGTCATCACCAACACCGTGGAGCCAGTCACTGAGGACACGTGGATTGCCTTAGAAGACAATCTGACTCCCTTGGATCTTCGAAGGAGAATTCGAGGAAAAGCCATGATCAGAAAGGTACAAGAGGAGAAAGATGAAGAAAGCAGGCAAGACAGGCTGAAGCGGGAAAAGGTGATACAGGAAGAGGCAGAACATGCCTTCTATGATGATGAAGAGGTTGTTGAGGCCGTACTCAGGGGGGTGAAAGCCATGCAAGAGATGGATCAAGAAGATGAAGGAGAAGTGCTCCAAACGAAAATTGTGGGCACTGCCGAGGTGGTCAAAAAGAAAGACCTTTGGCATCAGGCCATTTCCAATGAGATCACTTCACTCTTCTCAGAAAAGAAAGCGTTGAAGCTTTTGACGAAAGAGGAGAGCGACAAGTATCTCAGAGAAAGAGGAGCGATTCCACTACCTTCCAAGACCGTATTTACGGTGAAGCCAGATCCGGCTGATCGTCGGGGAAAGCGAAAATGTCGCATAGTTGCATGTGGCAACTATGAGACTGGGGGTGGAGATGAAAACTGTTTTGCGGCAGGAGCAGATGCTGCTGCCCTTAGGCTGGCGCTTGCTCTGGCCACAGTTCGCAAATGGTGCGGAATCAATGTGGACATTCGCACCGCCTTTTTGAACGCTCCCTGGAGACCTGAAAAGGGGGGTGAAGACTGGTTTTTTGAAGAGGAAGGCGAAGAAGCTCCGCTCCCAATGCTTCTTAGGCCACCGCCAATTTTGGTCAAACTTGGCTACTTTCCTCCCTATCAGCTCTGGGAGGTTTTGCGAGCTCTTTATGGCTTCCGGAGGTCTCCGAAACTCTGGAAGGATTATAGAGATGAGGAGATGGAAAAGATGAGAGTTGGAAAGATGAGGTTGCATCAGCTTGAATCAGAGCCGAGTACATGGGCCATCCGCCAAGAAGAAACTGGCGATTTGCAAGGGCTCATGCTCACCTATGTTGATGACATTTTGGTCCTTGCCTCAGAGGAGACTGCAGAAGCTTGGATCAGCTGCATCCAATCCAAGTGGGAAACCTCCGTCCCTGAGAAGGTGGGCTGTCAGCAAACCACCCGGTTTTTGGGTATGGAGTTGTCTCGAGATCAAAATGGAGTGTGGTGCGCCACTCAACACTCCTACACTTTGGATCTCTTGCAGAAGAACATGGGGATGGACAGACAGAAGTGGGGATTGAAGAAGATTCCCATGTCAAAGGAGGATGGAAGTTTGGATAGTGATGGTGAGGAGGATGCAGAAAAGACAGTGGAAAAGGTTCGAGAAGCACAGAGAATCGTAGGTGAGCTGACCTGGCTGGTGACCAGGTGTCGCCCCGACATCATGTACGTCATGTCCAGAATTTCCAGATGGACCACCAGACGACCTTCCAAGGTCATTGCTGCAGCGCCTCAGATCTGGAAATACCTTGCGAATTCCATCCAAGAAGGGATTCGCTTTGGAGGAAACGAAGATGGTTGCCTAGACCTCCTGGTCTACACTGACGCAGCCTATGGAAATGAAGGCCACGGATGTTCAGTGGTGATGTGGCTGGGAGCTCCAATTTTGTGGCGAAGCTCGCGCCAACAACTTCAAACCGCATCCACAGCAGAGTCGGAGCTGTTGGAGATTTTGGAAGGAGGAGTTTTGGCAGAGGCAGTCCGAGTAGTGGTGGAAGAAATTTTGGAAAAGGCAGTGCGATGTTGGCAGTACTCGGATTCTGCCTCAGCCATCGCCATAGTTGGAGGCGACAGTGCGTCCTGGAGGACGCGCCACTTGAGAAAGAGGGCTCGCTACATGAGATGGCGGGTGCTGAGTGGAGATGTCATCCTCCGACACACTCCAGGCAACGGCATGATCGCCGACCTGGGCACCAAAGCTTTGGCGGCATTGAAGTTGGAGGAGCTGAAGAAAGCCATGGGCATGACAGATAGAAAGATCAAAACAGAAAAAGAAAAGGAAGATCTCGGTGTGGTGAGAGGGCCTACCGAAGAAAAAGAAGAGAATGGCGTGGTGAGAGAGCCGGCCATAGAGACGAAAGAAGCGAAAGGAGGGATAAAGTCCCCAAAAGATATGGTCAGGATGGCGATGATCATGGCCATGCTCAGCCGAGCGAAGGCCGAAGATGAAGATGGAGATGCAGGAGAGGAATCATCCATCTTCTTTGACATGATGATGGTATATACAATAGTGGTGGTGTTGGTCACGTTGGCCATTCAAAGCGGCTGGCAGCGACGACTGCTCAGGGCTGAGACGGCTGTGGGATCAGATCGATCCCGCGGCGAACTCGCTCAACGGAGTGCCAGGACATCGGGTCTGATGACCGATGGTCCAACCTCCGTCCCGGGTGAGACGGTTCTGGGATTCGGTGGAGGAGACCAATCTCGGGACGAACTCCCCAGGGGAAGCAGTCAGTTGCTCGGGAGTGCCAGGACATCAGGTCTGACGTCACAGACTGGTGGTCCAACCTCCCTGCCGGGTGAGACGGTTCTGGGATTGGGTAGAGGAGACCAATCTCGGGACGAACTCCCCAGGCGAAGCGGCCAACCATCTGGGAGTGCCAGGACGTCGGGTCTAGCGTCACAGGCCGGTTGTCCAGCCTCCCCGCCGGGTGAGACGGTTCTGGGATTTGGTGGAGGAGACCAATCTCGGGACGAACTCCCCAGGCGAAGTGGCCCACCACTAAAAGAAGAAAAGGAAGAAACACCAAAGGCTGTAAAAAGAGCCAAAAGTATGGGCCAGTCTTCTGCGTCCAAACAGGACGGACAGAAGAACACTTATGGCCAACCAGCTTCAAAACTGGAAGCTCCGCTACCAGAAGATCAAACAGCCTCTGCAGGAATCCAAGAACCAGCGATTCCCGAGGCGGCAGCAGAAAAGAAAGAAGTTGCTCCGCCACCAAAAGTTTTGCAATCAAAGTCAAAAGGAAAGAAAGGTGATGAAAAGAAGCCAAATGAAACGACCTCAACAGGGATGACGCAGATCAGAACCAACCATGCTGCAGCCGAGCCAAAAGTTGCAGCTTCCTCATCCACCAGCACTGGTGCTCAGATCCCTGCGGATCCATCTTCCAGTGCTGACCCATCGATTGACCTGTACTTTACAGGCCTTGGAAAGAAATATCACTTCCGAAAGGATTGCTTTGGGTTGAGAAATTCACAGATGGTGCGACACACCGATATCTGTGAGCAGTGTGTTCCTCAACTTCGCGGATGGCATCCTCGAGGGAGAGACATGTATGGAGCTGGATTGAATGGACCCCAGCACACCGATGTGACTCACTGCGAAAAAATGCATGGATATTCCATTGCGTATCAGCCGTGTAATTGGTGTGCGAGGCCAAATGAAAGCGAAAAGTGAAAAAAGGTGCGATGACATGCAAAGTGAAAAAATTTGGAAAAGAAGAGCGGAAAAAGAACATCTGAGAGAGGGCTTGAGCTTTGAATGTAACACTGTCGTGCAGATGGTGTGAGATATATTTTGCTTTTTTCGTGTGACTGTGCCTCTAGCGAAACACAGTCAGGGGGTGTGCGAATTGCATATTCCCTATTTAACATTCATGTCATGACTTTGCAATTGTCATTTCAATCAATGGGCATTTCACCATAGCCCTTTTTCCAAGCTCAAAGATCGGTCGGAAGACCGGTGAATCCAACGTGAAGGACTTTGGAAAGAGAGTTAAAAGCGCAGGACCACTTGTCTGACCGTGGAGGACTTTGTGTGTCTAACGCAAGGAGTTTGAGGTGTGGACTAGTACCTGGCTTTTCTGGCCGCAGACGTGTCAGGACTGTCAGTGCTAGTACCCCCGATAATATTACCCGGGTGAACCTGTCGCGAACAGTTTGGACCCCTCTGAAAAATACAAGCCACGTTTCAAACCACCAACCAGTATCCTCTGGTAAACTAACATAGCTATTGAAAATGGCAACTTATAGTGGATTTTCCCATTAAAAATGGTGATTTTCCATAGTTATGCTAGTTTACCAGAGGGTATCCCATATACATCATAGATCTCCCCACGAATTCCCCGTTGATGGAATTCCCCACCTCCCGCGACCACCACCGACGCGGCGTCTCAAGGCCCGCGGTCCTTTTCTCTTTGACGACCACCTCCTTGCCCTCCTGCGGAGCATCGACGACCTCAAGCCCCCAAGCGATAGCTGTTGCTTCTCTATGGTGAACTGAGGTTTGTAGTGGATATCTGATATATCTGTTATATGCTGAAAAGACACATAGCATCTTTTTTGGACTTAAAAAAAATGGTTTACAATCCAACTTATGGCCGCGGGACAACTTCCTGAAACACTGTGACAATATGTCATCAAAAAATCCGATCAGTGTTTCACAACATCCAACGACGGCCTTCAACAAAAAACTGCTGGGTTCCCAAACAGGCAAGATCTCATCAGATTCTTCGACCTGGACAGTGACATGCTGCAGGTCACAGACGAAGACGACTGGATCGCCTTCGATTCGATTTAATTCGATGTTTCCGATTTTCTGTGTCCAAAGATATCCCATTGGATCCATGTATGGTATATATGCTAACTTTTGGGGTATATTGATGGTAAATGTTACCATATATAGCATACATGGATCCTATGGGTATGGCTATGATTCTAAACATGTTCATATGTCATTTGCCATGTAAAAACAAACGGCTATATACCCAGCGAGAGCGCCTCCCCAAAGAGAGGGACTCTTGTCAACATACATAGGGTATACATCGGTATCCCCCCAAATTTGTCAGAAATTTTACTTGGGTTTGTCTGAAAATCAGGGGTCAGTGTCTATCCTGAATTCCAATGGGGTACACTCATTTTCTGGTTGGTGGTTGAGCCCTACCCCTCTGAAAAATCATGGACTTCGTCAGTTGGGATGATTATACTATCCCCAACAAGAAATGGAAAGTCATAAAATTCCATGGTTCCAAATCACCAACCAGTCCCTCATTCTCTAGCCATTTGGGGGTTTACCCCATTTCCACACACCCCATTTGGGGATACCCCCATTGTCACCTTGCTGGGTACATGGGGCAGCTCGGGGTTGGGGTCTCCCATGGTCCTGGGCATGGCTGACCGAAAAACAGGGAGGCGAGTTCCGAAAAGAGGGGGGAATGTGGGTAAAACCAATGGTAATATGGTAATTGATGATGGTTGATAATGGTTATCTTGATGGTTATAATGATGGTTACAACTAAACATCAACTATATGGGTAAAACATGGTATAACAATGCCATAAACCACCCATGACTGGAAATGGTGTAATTTCCAAAAAAAAATGCTGATGACTGGGGGATGGTTTATTATTGTTTTGACCACATTACCATGAAAATAATCATCCAAGTCATGGTGACCATTTTTGAGTAAGATGTCTTAACAGCCATTGGTGACTTGGGGATGCCCCACCCCCATCTTAATCAAAACCACCCCTCCCTATATTGAGATCTATATCGATGCCCACCTCCGTTTTGGGAAGGTTTTGACATGTTTTGACACTGGCTATATATTGAACCTAGGCTGAAGGCAATATTAGGTAGGTTGCTCCTTCTGTTTTGTTTCGATGCTGCCTCAAGTGGCGGTCATGATGGGTCGCATCAATCGGTCCTAAAAAAGGATCTGATTTATGAGTAGGGAACCGCATCAATGTCCAATGCTCCCCATACGCCCCATTCGCCGCTGTCCTTCGGATCGACGACTGCTTGACTTCGTCAAGGATCAATCCCGAAGAAGCCGCGGTTTCACCGTGGAAACTGAACCAAAGCTGGCATCGAATACACTGCATGGACCCTCAAATGATGGAATCCTGCTGTAATAAACCTATCATTTGGGGATGGTAAACATAGCACCCATTTAGGGTAGGGATGGTTTTTCGTATTGGGCTTACAACATTCATCCAAAACGGAGTGTGGCCTTTTAGGTGATTTCGATGATGACATCGTCACCACCATAACTGAGGTGTAGCTGTCCTGCTTGAATACAGTGTTGTTCTTTGCAATCCATGATTGACGACACAAGAAACATGCTGCAAAGGCAGTATATGCAGCTGACTGATATCTACAATTATCTAATGTCGACGCAAAAATAAACAATCAAACTCATGTTTTCTCCCTAATAGCATTAACAACAAATGACTAAGCATGTCATTCAATCATAAGATTAAAGGAAATCATTTTATCCCATTATCCGGTCATGTGCATTCGTCATCCCAGATCCTTTTTGCTTGGCATTGGCGGCTTAGTCTTCTTTCGAATTCGGTACTTGAGGAACCACAAACCTCAGTGCGACACGGGATGACCGGTGCTGCATCTGAAGATCTGTCGAAGATCGTCAGAGAAAAAAACATAACCATACACAAAAACCACACACTTTTATTATTTATTCATTATATTTGGATACTTTTGGTACATTTATTATTATGTAATATAAACATATATAAACTGCCGCGTTAGACAGCAATCATGTTGAGAACTGCTCAAATTCATTGATCAATTGATGATTCTTTAAAATCATGCTCAAACGTGCCACGATTTGGAATAGACTCGTCTTGGAATGCTTGGATCTTCAAAGGATCTTCTGTGCAAAGCCTTCCAATGAACTTCCAACACATTTAGTTGTGTGACTTAGAACAAAACATCCCTGATTTATTGTAAACATTTGCAAAACCAATATGAATGTGATACAACCGTCAATTTTTGATACTAAATCCCCACCCCAATTTCTGGTGTAATTTGGTTTTTGTCTTACTGGTTTCACCACATGGAAGCCACAACAGTGGCCCAAGTCACGTCTGAACCAACCGTTGGTCGAAGACCACGCCCTGGCGTTGGGATCTCCAACCGCTAGATCAATGGGGGTACCCTCTGGTAGACATACAAAAAACGACGGAAAATCACCATGCTTAATAGGTAAATCAACGGTAATGTTCAAAAATAGCTATGTTAGTTTACCAGAGGGAAAATACCAACTTTGGTAGATGTTCATTTCTTTTGGGGTGGTGAACACCAAGTCATTCGATGTCATTCGTTGATCAAATCCCAATTTCGGTCAGGTCTCTACATGGCAGTGGTGGTTCCTTACAATCAGGATTCGTACCCTCGAGTAAACTCACATAACGATGGAAAACTAAGATTTCTCTATTTTATATTCTTCGGAACAGTACTAGTAAACCACTTCAATCCCCTCAGGCCCTCAACCGGCGGCAACCATCGTCAGACTTTTTTGTTAGATCGCCACAGGCCCCGCGGGGTTTCACCGACAGCACGACTGGTGGCTGTGGTCATCCTGTTGGATATGTGCTCCATGTATCTCCATGTTAGGCATACAGTATCTGGTTGGTGGTATACCTACCCCTCTGAAAAATATGAAAGTCAGCTGGGATGATGACATTCCCCAAATATGGAAAAATAAAATTCATGCTCCAAACCAGCAACCAGGTATATACATTAAACATGGGACGTCTTTGAATATTGATGCATATTGAAAAACATTGTCCACGTTCAGCACCGCGCTGTTCAGGGCCACCTGGCAGCACTGAGAGGCCTGACCACCTGTGATATATCAACCGGTTTCTGAAGTATTCCCCAATCGAAATGGATGTGAACAACCCATCCGATCCTGAGAAGCGACCTTTTTCAGAGGAAAGCAGTCTTCCCCATGGCAGGGTCTATACTTTTTGGGGGCATGGTGGATACTATGTTTATAAAAAGTTCATAAGAGCTTAGTCAATGAGGATCATCATGTCTTATCATATCTTGGGATGGATACACACAAGATTATAAACGTATTCAGGAATGTATCCACAAAGTCGTAAATGAGGTAAGTTCACGACTCATTGGTTACAATTTCAATACCGCAACAAACTCGGGCATTCCAAAGTTGGGGATCCGATAAAAAAGACCAGCTTCCAGCAGCTTGGCAAAATCTCCCCACCATCGATGAGCTGACCTCACAGCTCTCGTTCTCGCGCAGAGACAGAAGTGCCTGGAGCACCATTCTGATTGGTGCATTGTGTAAGGTCACCAGCTAGGTCCTTTTGTTCGAAGAACTAAAACCTGCAGTTATTTAAACAACGAGCAACGCAGCAACGCAACACTTATCAAAATCAGAGACACCAACATGAATCGCTATGAACAAATGCTAATCTATTTGCTAATCTACACCAAACTCTGGCAGATTTTTCCGTTCAATGGTTCAACTTAAAGGTAGGTGTTTTTTTTTCTCCCCCACACCAGCTGTATCCTTCCAGGCACCTGATCCCCTTGATGCACTTGAAGCTTGCAGTAGAGCTCGCGACCACGTACGGGTACGGCCCGGCCTGAGGGAGGCTGTGTCAGGTATGTGTGGCCGCCCTTTTCTGGTTGGTGATTGATCATCATCCCACTTGGTGGGAGGTAATAAATCAGCTTTGAACCAAAAAATCAATCTTGAATTGTTGATTTGGAATTGGTGGGAACTTGCTAGCAAGTAAGCTGTCGATGTCGCTGCTGCAAAAGGTGGCAAGAGGTGGTGCACGGCTCTGGGCACTTCACTTTTTATGTACAACAAATGTAGACAGAACTAGATGAACACCCTCGATCCGTGGCAGGAAAGGATGCAAACTTTTCGTAGCAACTGTCTTGGAACGGTCTAGCCAGATTCTAGGTGTCAGCTCACGAGTCATCTGTGTCATGAGCTCTGGCGCTTCTGAGCAATGCCGAGTGGAAGATGGTCTGATGACCGTAATCACTCTATCTTGGAACATAAGGCACACGCGAAACTTTCACAGCAGGCCCTAGGGAGGTCTAAATGTCGCCTCCCTTGACTTGCATTCGAACACTTTTGGCTCACTTCAAAAAAAGATCGAGCATCGTATTGCATCGCTTTGTCAGGGAACCATACTTCTCTTGCAGCTCAGAGCACTCAGCCTTGAACTCATCATCAAGGAAGCCTCGCGTGCCTGCCTCTTTTTGCAAGTGCTGCAAAGATTCTCGCTGTGCTTGCAGAACCGTCTTGGTCTGACCCACGATGGAATCATGCTCGTGCTTGGCACACTTGTCGGGATATTCCTTCATCACTTTTTTGTATATCTTAGTGAAGCGGTCCCTCACGTAGCTCTTATCCACAAGCGTCATGGGAATCACGGCACCGATGATGGCAAAGGGCAGAACGACAACCATTCCCGCGACACCTCCGGCCATCACGGTCACGGGAAACATTATCGTTGCAGCCAACAACCCCACAACGCCGTCAGTAGCTGCAGCAGCCACAACGAATCCGACTGCATAAATAAGACCAGTGACTGCACTAATCCCAGCCACTGCATCGGCAATCGGTAATGACGTCCCAGCAGAAAGCTGGATGTCATTGGCGACCATGACCTGGATGCGGTCATGAATAACCGTGTCAACTTCCCTAAGGCCGAAGGCTTCAGCAACCCGACAGTTGTAGTGTGGCACACTAGCCTGGAGTATGGCGTCCAAGTGCCCCTCCTGCCTCTCCTTGAGAGTCTGCTTGATCTCTTCAGCCCGCCTTCTGACCCATTCGTCCTTGTCGTCTGTCACTTGCTTCACCTTGTCTTCAGCAAGCAACAAATGCTTCTCTCTCTTCTCTATCTCACCTCGCAAGTGTTCGTCATCCTGCACAGCCAACCGGAGCATATCCATGATCCTCTCAAGTGACAACAAGATTTGGATCAAGCGTTTGCCTTTGAGTTTTGTGAGGGCATTGTGCGCATAGGCTTCCACCTTTTGCCATTTCTGGATCGCTGCTGGATTGTTCTCCTTCTTGTTTTTCATGGACAAATCCATCACTGTGGGGGTGCAATAGTTCTGGGTCTCTTTTGTGATGTCTGCAATCAACTTGGGATAGTCCGGAACCTCTTCATCTGAGTTCGCTACATTTGTATCCCCTCCCACATCACACTTGTTGACCAAAAACCCCAAGCCTTGTGATAGGTTTTGCCAAGGAGACTTCATCAGTTTCTCAAGGAATTGACGATCGGGGTTGCAAATCTTGTTCTTCACATCAATCACATACAAGAGCACCACAGAAGATGCGGAATGGGAGTTCATGTACTTCACAAGTCTCTCCATGTACTCCTCCTTCTGATCCAAACCAGGCAAGTCAACCAGAATCACATCAGGTTTCAGCAAAGGGCTTGGATGCCAGACTTGCAAAGGTTCTGATGAGGTATTCTCCTGGACCATTTCTTTGTCGATAGATGTGCCATCCGAAGCAGCATCGTAATGTGCTTCGCAAATGCGGGAGGTCATGCAAAATCTGGCGGTGGGCCAGAACTTTCCACCACCCAAGAAGGCATTTGCAATGGTGCTCTTGCCCACATTGCCGCTGCCTGCTAGGATGAGCCTGTCCTTCTGATCACAGCTTTGACAAACATCCTGCAACTTTGCACGCAGCTCTGTGAAACTAGTCATCTCGCGCCCTAAGCGTTTCTGACACTTCTCCAGCACCAGGACTGTTTCATTGGCGAAGGGTTTCAACGCTGTGATGCACTCAGCCAAGCCATCAAAAGATGCCACAACATCTTGTTCCGGGCTCACTCTTCACGTCCAAAGATGCCACAGCTTCTTGGCCTTGTTCCGGGCTGTCACTCTTCACGTCCAAAGATGCCACAGCTTCTTGGCCTTGTTCCGGGCTGTCACTCTTCACGTCCAAAGATGCCACAGCTTCTTGGCCTTGTTCCGGGCTGTCACTCTTCACGTCCAAAGATGCCACAGCTTCTTGGCCTTGTTCCGGGCTGTCACTCTTCACGTCCAAAGATGCCACAGCTTCCTTCCCTTGGTCTGGGCTGTCAGCAAACCCGACTTCTTCCCAGTCAGAATCATCATTGCTCGGTTCGGTGGACCGGGAGACGACTGCTTCGCAAGGATCTTTGCGGGATCCCATGGGACATTCGAGTGAAGGAGCTGCCATGGCTTCTCAGCAACTTGCTACAAAGCAAAGAAATGACTTTGTGGGACCAAGCAATCTCTAGCCAAGGGAAGCAAGTGGGAAGAATATCAGTAAATCAGTGAACAAAAATCACTCAAAAGGCTGACACATTTCACTGACTCAAAAGCTGGAACTCTTTCTTCAGCCTCCTTCTGTGTTCTTCCTTTCCTATAGATTCTGCAAAGGGTATACCTCATGATAACCTTCCTGCAAACTCAGCACCGCACGCTGTAAAGCAAATATCCTGCCAGCAGCCGGCAGCCGCCAGTGCGTTTACTCCTTGGCAAAAAACATCCATTCAACATGCACCAACAAATACCACAAATAGCTAAAGACCTTTATGAAATTCATGAGAACTCATCCAACTGCAGCCAGCAACCCTATAAAAATCACTGAATTGAATTTCATGAGCAACTTCATCAAGCTCGTTGAACCTCAAGGACAAATGATCACCACGAGAACTTCACAAAATCCATCAGCCCTCGTCCTTGCTGACTTTTCCCTGAGTCCAGCGACGCAGAAGGGCAGGGGATGGCACCTCGGTGGACGTGGATCTACCAGAAAATGGGCTATGCATGGCTATGCAGTATAGCTCCAGAATAGCTTGTCTTTTTAGTAACGGGACACGTGATTTATACACCATTGGATTTTGAGGTTCCCTATTTTCAAACACATCCTATTGCGGACTATGATGAACATCTGGGACTTCAATGTAGATTTTAACTTACAACCTGACAGTTTAATCCGGGTACAGTACATAAACAAACATCAACATTAGGCAGAATCAGATGGAAACCCCATGACCCCGCGCAAAAAAACAGTCAATGACCAATCAGGAACCAGGTTGACAGTATCAAGTCCCTGATTCATAATGAGCTGGTTGACACCCCTAGGAAGAACCCATTCTGATGGCTTTCACATCTGCTCAGGTGAACATTACTGACTGGAAATGCATCTACACTGGACTGAACGTGCCATTTGTTGATATGCTGCCATCACTGACATCTTGATTTCCTAACATGTGAGTGTGTCAAGACTAATGCATTTCAACTATATATATATATATACATACATACAGGCATTTGCATGCTTGCATACATAGAAATGCATATTATAAATTTGATGTCGCATAATTTTCCAGTGTTCAAGGGTAGTCGGAAGTTGAACCAAGAAAACATCAAACATAAATCACTACATCATCCATGTCAGGCATATTATGATTTCTCAGATTCTGAGACATGTTATCAATGCATATATGAAGATCAGGCAGAGTTGCAACGTCGGTGGGGTTCCCAGGAATGTCCCACTCCCACCACCCATGAATTCCATGTCGGAGATGGCCGCGCACCGTGGAGATGTCACAAACCCAGGAGACTCGTTCCTTCCACGGGCAGGGGGGCGCAGGCTGCTTAGTGGCCTTTGATTTGTATCTGAAACCTACCGCGGATACCCAGGGATTACGTTTTTGCTTGGAAGATGGATTGGAAAAAATGGTTTGCTTCGGAAATTGAAGCGTGTTGTGGCAGAATCACTTAATCACTAACACATTAAAGGCACAGAACTTAGGCAAACAACACCCACTTCATATTCATGTGTTTTTTCATGTTTTTTCAACGTATCAACGATCAAATTTAACTTTCACAGCTGAGCACGCTGAAGTTAGCAGATTTTCTATACTAACAAATGAACAGAAATCGGTTCAATGGGATTTCTATAGAATTGTTCCAACAAGGTTCATCCAAAGTCCCATGGTTCAAAATAAACCTCATGGTCCGTCATGTTCTATCATGGTGCTGTAACATGGATCCCATCAATATACCCCCTTTATGTTAGCATATAATTACCAGCACCATGGATCCTATGGGTATATCATGTTCCAATTAAAAAAAACATGTGCCCCCCTGGTTTCACCATGGCACCTACAGAAGCTTCGCCCTTGACGTCGAAGTAGTACAGTAACACCGACTCAAGGTGTAGAGCACCTGCAGTGGCTTTTTGCGAACACTGATAAAGTTACTTACTTTTAGGAACTGGGGTCATCCAACAGTAACCTTCGAAAAGGTGAAGTGACATTTAACCTTATCAAACAGGTACAAAAAGCTTTGGGTTTCCAGGGTTTCCACTTTCAACCATCTGATGGCTGAAGAATCCTACATTTCTACGACTTCTGGACTTGGAGTTGACAGGGAAACAACGTGCAGGAGAATGCGATATTGTCCCCAAGAGCAAGGCAATGACATTTCCTTGACAAGCACCACTTTTTTGGGGGGAGTTGCCCAGTCTTTAATCACAGTTGATGCCGGAAAATCCACTCCAGCAACTGGGAGGCCCAGCTTCAACATGCTGAGAGTCAGCTGTGCCGCAAAGGACATCCGGTATCCGTAGCCAGCGAGCATGGAAGATCTTGAACGGACTGAATTCCTGGCAGGCGGCGTTTCGTTGCCAGTTGCCCGGTCCAAACAACCGCCGTTCGGAACCGAAGTCCCGATTTGTTGCCATCCATTTTTGCTAATCAAATGTGTTCTCCATGGTCCCAAAGTGTTTTTTAACATCATCTTTGGAAACATATGGTTTATAACCGTAAAGCTTCCCTGTTTTTCACCGGCGCCTCTTACCTCCATCACAGCCTTCACCCAAACTCCAGAGTGGAAGCGCCTGGATGTCGCATGTGTTGGCCTGGAACATGCAGTTGCGCACCTCAGCTCAACTCGGAGTCTGGTGACATACAGGACAGTGACATAACCCATGCCCTTTACTATCCCACCTTATTCAAATGTATATTCAAAACTATTCAAATTCAAATTATTCAAATGGTAAAGATTTGGTACTGGTACTGCGACTGCGATAAAATTGGATGGACTTTAGTCAATTTTAATCCCCCAAAAATCGTCCAACTCTGTGATTTTTAGGGCCCAGCTTCAAGTCCCCAGGTTCTTGCGACCACCGTGAAGGGCACAAAAAACACGCAGACCTGTCGTCGAAAACGGGTGGGCTCGTGGGCGCAGGGAACAGGTATCTGGACCTTCCTCTCCCCAACGAAAACATGGTGAACAGCCATATATTATGGACAAAAACATGTTTGAAACCACCAACCAGATCAGCATCATATCCCCATTGTTGTTGGTTTAAAGATTTCCCCGAACTTGTGACTTGTGGATCCATGTACGATGTACTGAAGTCAAAATCAGCTACCAGGTCTTACCAGGTACACATGTGGGTTGCCCTCTCCAACACTGGCATGCTACAGGTGCCTACCCACCCCCCAGCATCGCCGTAGTGGCTGGGCCTGTCTTGTGACGTACAACAAGAGGCAGACTCGTTGTATCGCCTCCTGTCCGAATGGATGGGTTTGTTGGCAGAATGCCATGGCTATGGATTGATGGTGGGCACAGATGCGCAGGGCGCAGGAGGCAGGGTACGAGAGAAGGACCCAAAAAAAAAGAAAAAAACAAAATGTGCAAGATCTTATCATTATTACATGAGGAACTTGGCCATTCCAGGAGAAAAAATAGAGATAGCCTAGCTGTTTGTCAGTGCCCAATATCTCAGGCATCCCCCCCAAGTCAGCACCGCTTGGCAGGAACCCTTTGGCAGGTACGTGGTGAAATGGTGAGCAACTGAGCAACCCACCTGGGAATAAAACATTGGTAGATTTCAAGGTTCAGAGGTCAGTCAGGTCTTCATCTCCCAACCCATAGAGGTAGGTCGCGGGGACTCTGGTTTTGTATACTGGGTCGCTATGAGGTCCCTTGAGGATCTCATGTATGATGATCAGCGTCAATGTGGAACGCTCCACAAAAATAGGCCCCGGATGTGTTGATCTAACATCTTCCACAATGAAGTTTATTCATCCCGTTTTGTTTGAGTAGCTCTGCGAAGGCTAGATAGGGCAAGACCACAGCCCTGCCGCTGTCCTTCCTTGCATTGACTGCTTGACTCTGTCAGGGATCAATCCAAGCGCCATGGAAATATGGAAATTTGAACCAAAGCTGGCATCGAATACAATGCCCTATGCATGGACAGTTGGCGACTGTGATGGAACCCTGCTTCGTGTAACAAGAGCACATAACAATAGGGTATAGAATATCACATTTCTTGATGATACACATTGAGTGTCATCTTGTAGGTGCAAAACAAAGCACAACCATGTGTTTATGATTATGTAACAAATGAGTAAACAAATGAGTAAGAGCACCAAGGTATCTTTGTCGAACATTTTCCGGAGCGGGAAACACATTAATTACATGGATTTCAGTCTCTTCCCTCATGGCTTTCCATCTTCAGCTAGGGCTTTTTTGGTCATCGCCGCAGGCCCCGCGGCGGTGAAACCGACAGCACGACTGGTGGCTGTGGCAAAGCCCGACATCGTAGACAGTCGTTGGTCGTGTTACCCAGGATTCATCAATACCCAGTTTACTAATATATTAATATGGATTATATAATATGGGGGGAAACAATTTTCAAAAGAAATTGAATTCACTATTTCTGGGGTAACTGCAAAAGCCCCTGAATCAATAAATTACTTTGTATAATACATCTCCATCTCTGATCATATGGGTGTATCTGAAAATGGGCTATACCCTCCAAATCACAAATTAAATGGGGAAAGTGATAGTAATCCGTTGTTTTCACCTAAATTCTCATGACCATCTACAACCTCAAAGACCTTCGTTCATCTCAGGCGGAACGTCGCCATTGGCATCGTTGTCCGGGCTGTGGCTGTCCGGTTCCTGATGAAACATGTTACTGTAACCAAAGCATGATGCATGGAACGTACTGAGGCAGAATGTGGTAAAGTGAATAGTAATAAGCCTTAGCACATTTATCCAATTCTTACTTTTGGAGGTTATATCTCTAAACAGGGATGATTCTTGGGTCTACCACATTGCTTGTGGAGCAAATAACAAACTAACAGTTTTTTGTGTCTCGCTTTCCTATCCTGATTCAGCTTCACTGTTTCCGCAAATCTATGTGCACATGTGTATCTTCCCTGTCTGCACCCTTCTGGATTCTCAGTCTAGCCTTCAAGCATGTCTGATTTCATGTTAGGATGATCTGGGGCAACAATATCAATCATACAATCCATCTAGCCTGAGACGAATCATCTCCCTTTATAGAGTCTAGATCTTCCAAGACCTGTGAACATTTCCTTCCAAGCTTGCTGCACCAAGTTGGTGGCTTCTTCCCATCCGGAAACTCCGGGAACATCTTCTCGTATCAGGAAGGGAACCCAAATAGAACCACTAAAGAAACACTTGGGCATGGGTCACCTATCACTTTCACAGTCCAATATGCGGAGTTCGAAGAAGAAAAACAACACTCCCAAAAACTGTCATTTTTCTTCCCCACATATCATCCTATACTCAAATTGCAGCCTCCAGCTAATTAAGATCTATAGATATAGAAAACCCATGAAAACCCAACATTTGTATATCATTTTCTTAGGGTTTCCCCATAACTTTCCCATATCGTCACTCAACCCACACCGATCGCCACGCCCAGCCGGCGTGGCACTCCTTGACCGTGACCAGCGCCGCAGACTTCGATCGATCACCTCGGCAAGGCGGTGAGTTGATGGTGATTTTCCATACAGAAACACCATTAGTAGTGGTGTAGTGATACTAAACACTATATCAAATGGGATATGTAGTGGTGATCTTGATCACTATATCAAATGGTGATTTGTGATACAGAAACTACAATGGGATATAGTGATATAATGTGACAAAAAATATAAATATAGTGGTGATTTCAATGATGATAGATAGTAGTTAAGCGGACCCAATTACCACGTTATTTTACAGGCAAGTAACGACAATCTAGAGTTTAATGGTGATTTCATGGGATATGATGGGACGCAGTCAGCATCTGGAGAATGGTGTTGTACGATCGCTACAAGTTACAACCAAGGGATGGAAATCCAACCAACAAAAAAGGAATGTAATAGGATAATAAAGGATATGCTGGGATATCCAACCAAAATATAACGAATCTGATTTGGGTTTGTCAAACTAAACATCTGCAAAATCGAACACCCTAAAATAAATAAACAACATCTTCATGGGGACAAGGATGATAAAGCACCTGGGGTTCGGGGCACCCTATTGTTTTGGCGAACCCCATATGAATAGGATGCTATCAGTTCAGGATACTGTTGTATATACAATAAACGAATATATATATATAATGACATTATATTACTGTACATACATTTCTTTATATATCATTTCTTTATGTATCTAATTTTATATGTATTCATTTGTATATCTAAGTGATTGCTCCAGGCCATTAGGTTTGGAAGTTTCCTCCAGGATTGACATTAACCATCACTGATCAAGTTCCAATGATAGCGCACTCACCCTGCAAAAATATGCCCTCGAAAACAACATAGATGCTTCATGACCATAGTTAATCCTATGCTAATAGCAACTCCATGTATCTGTGCAAATTAAAATAATTCGCTAGCCTGAAATAAGACCATTTTGGGATGATTCTCCTTATTAACCATGCTTGCAGTGAGGTCGCAGTGAGGTCGTTATAATTTGCCCAGATGTATGTTGGGATACTCGTTGTGCGCTCAACTGCCCAGTTGGCTTGCCCGGTCTCCCTTGGGCGCCCAAACTTTCCACTTGCGCCCAGAGCCCCGCCGCGAAGGGGGTGAGCTCGGACTGCATGGATGCCGAAATTCACGGTGATGGCATCAAAAAATCACCCTGAAACTTCAAAGTCCCAGAAATTGATACAGCAACACAGGCCCCATGATGCCCCAAACAACATTCAACACGTGTCACGTGTGTTGTTTCTGCAGACCAACTTCTGCCGCACCTGGAAGGTGTTGTTTGGACTTGGAGGCAGCAAGGCATCCGTTCGCACCTGGCATCCCAGGTATGGGATGGAAAGTAAACAAGTAGACCGCACACTCACAAGTTATGTCCACCAAAACCACGTTGATATGTTTTCTGGTGGCAATTTCATTTCGGAGGTAGCCCATTCGAACAATGGAACTGGGGGAATCTAGGTCCTAGATTCTAGACACTTTGTGACAATCAGTGAACTGAATTACTGCCCGGCTGCCTCCGTATGTGTTGCATCTTTTTAACCCGGTCCAGTTTGTGGCAAAATCATCGATCTAGCTGAAGTAAGGCCATTTTGGGCTAGTTACCCTTCTCAACTAGACTATGGTGAGGTTGGCGTGAGGTCTCTATAGTTTAGCTGGATCAATGAATTCCATGGTGGCCTATCATGGCAAAAGTCTGTAAAATTCCTCCGTGTCCGCCGTGTCCGGCACGCCTTGCATTGCAAAGTAGCGCGGATCCTGAACAGCTTTGGTTCTTGATTGTGAGACCACAATACCACCAATTTCAATGGATTAGTGTGTCATTGTTCGTTTTACAATGGCCATAAATGGGGTATATATCCACCATTTGAACAAACACACCCAAGACCCCAAGAATCATAAATGTGGGACATTGACAGTACATAGTATATCCACAATAGTGTATCCCATAAACACGCCCAATGAAATGCTTGGAGTTTTAATCCCAATTGTTGGTGGTAAATCCACCATTTTGGCTGGCAATCATCATGTTCAACTTGATATAAATCTTGTCATTTTGGATGTCGCTGAAAATAGAGGGTAGCCCTAAATTTGGTGGTCATTTCACATGGTTTTCCCTCAACTAGAATTGCTATTTCGGGTACCACTGGAAGACAAACCCAAATCATAGATGTTATACATTGGCTATGTATGTATAATATTACCTAATATTATATATTTATTTATATTTATATATATAGTATATCCGCTGGTTGTTGATCATTTTCCCATTAAGATTGCCATACATGGGCAGGAATATTACCACCCCCTTTGAATATCGCTCCAAGGCACTCGTCCAGATGTTCCTTGATGGCCTGGCTCAAGGACTTGGACCTACCAGGACCTGAAATGACCTAAGGGGCCCAGAAATGATAGGCGAGTCTACAATGAAAGTCTTGGGGCCCCTTTGTGATTTTAGTGTGAAACATGACATGAATTTTGAGACAACAAGAGGCAAGGTTGTCCACTCTGAGTTCCCTTTAAAATCTGTGCATTATGCGCTTTATTGTCTTAGTCTCCAGTGACCCAGTACCTTGCCTCTCGGAAGTACCGCAGCTCACAGGCGCTGGGGGAGGGTGCCTTGGCAGGGGGACACATGGTGGGGATGTCCACCTCCTGATCACCACATGAAGACTTCCAGAACGTGAACCTTTGAACTAAATGGTTGTTTTGGCAGTTGTTTTGTCCAAATGATTCCTTGCCAAACAAAACTAAATCAACAAATCTTGGCATTGATATTTTGTCATATTTTGTCCAAATGATCATTGAATGACGCTAAATGAGTGGAACTACATGATGTTGGTGGCTCACGGCGTTACCAGAAAATCCACCAGTTCCATACCCAACGTCTACGGGCTCGGCAGCGTTGGCCAACTTCACCTTGATGTTGGAGATGGCCCGGAGCCATAGCTTCCTTCAGCAAGGCGCTGCGTCACAGGGCTGTAAATGTGTTGAAAATGGTCCATTTATAGATGGTTTACCTATTAAAAAATGGTGATTTTCCATGGCTATGTTAAATAACCAGATGGTATCTTATAATTACCATCATACATGTTTCATTACTCTTATAATCTTATCCAATCTTTCTGACTTTACGATACGTTGAACATGGGTTTGATGATAATTATGAAACCAACAAGAATCAATATTGATTGTCCCAACATCATACCATATGGAATAAAAATGACAATAGGGTCTAAATGTGCCAGTATGGAACAGCCCATTTTCACATCATATATTATAAATATTATATTGTACTATACTATATTACACTATGTTATATATTACATTATGTTATATAATATTATGTTATAGTTATATGTATATTGTATTTATGTTATAGTATATTATATAACATACTGTATACCATATTATATAACATATTATCCTATATTATATTACATTATATTACATTGTAGTATATTATAATATATATTATGTTATATTATATTAAAGTATATTATAATATATTATATTATATAGCATATTTTGTTATATCGCATATTATATTATATAGCACATTATATTATATCGCATCTTGCATTATATTGCATGTTATATTATATCGGACATTATATTATATCAAATCATGTTATCATATCATATGATATCATATCATCATGTCATATGGTGTCATATGATATCATTTTATACTATATTATATCATATGATATCATATGATATCATATGATATCATATTATCATACCATATGATATCATATTATACTGTATGATATCATATCATATAATATAGCAAAATATGACATGATATCATATTATACTATATTAGTGTACTGCATTACATTACATTATACATATAAATATATATATATATATATATTCAATTACATTACATTATATTATATTGTATTATACTGTTTTTGTATTATATTCTATTATATGATATTACATATAACACAACATATATACAGTGTATATATATATACAGTATATATATAGGAAATGTATGGGACTATAGAATTACATGGAAATACTATATTATGAAAACACCAACGATATGATGCAATCATCACCACCCATCTCCCCAAATTCCCACCTCTCGGATAAGGTGCGCGAACTGAAGTCATGCTTCTCCACCTTGGGATCTCTCCATCAGAGGAAATGCATCGCTGGTTGGTCACAGGGATTTTTCACCTTGGTTGATGAAACACCTTATGAAAGCAAGCAGGTATAAAGTATACTGAGAGATACTGTGGGCTCCGTGTATGGTATGTTCTGGGCAAGTGTCAGTACTGCGAATATATCATAAATCAATTATAATCACAATTGGAGCACCTGTGGAAAAAATACACCCATATAAAATATCATAAAATATGCTAATATTATCAATTATTATCAACCATCAACAAACAACAATTGTGAGACACTGATTCTTTGTTAGAAGCCGCAATGTGCTGATGCACCCAAGTGCTCCCAAATGATTGGTCTGCTCGAATGGAACCTCATTCCTGACATGCGCCACAAGTCCAAATGTTGATCCCTGAGCCGCAACTTGGCTGGTCATTTACTGTACCCATTATCATCAATTTTAGTTCTCAATCAGTTAACAGTTAACCCCAAACTAAACCCAAACTGGTTCTATCCCCCAGGATTGCTGATGAAGTATCCCATTTCCATAAGGAACCATGGCTGCCATCCCGCTGCGGGGTTGATGAGCTTCCCAACCGTGAAGCAGCTGCAATTGATGCCCACCTTCTCCGCCACGATGGCGTCCACGTTCAGCACCACGCTGTTCAAGGCCACCTGTTTGGACTATTGGGCGGTGGTTAGGGCCATCCGGGCTCAAAAATAAGGATTGAACATGATTGAACCATACATTTAACATCATTTAACTTTTTGACCATTGAAGATTGGGCAAATGACATGAATTATTTCCTCAAACCAGGAGTTGTGCCAGCTATACTTGAAGAATTTGGATTAATATCATCCCCCAAGTACTTGAAATGGGTGTGTCTGAAAATAGTGTACCCCTAACCCCAATGGTGAATGATCATTATCCCTATTAAATGGCTATTTCATTGGGAATATACCCTATTTTCAGACAAACCCAAATAGTTTGACCTTGAGAAGCGATCATTATTTTTGTGTTTGACATCCCCTCACTGCGACCGTAAGCATTGCATAGCATTGCTATGGTGACCTCACAGCTCTCGTTCTCGTAGAGCACCAGCAGGGCCTGCAGCGCAAGACTCGCCCCGAGCAGCTCATTGATGGACTTATACAGTTGGGTTTGCAATTTGTAAGTGCAACTTTTATGGCGAACATGATAAGCCATGGAATTTGGGGACCATATTTTCCAAACAAAGACACAATTGCTGATGGGGACTGTACATGACTGTTGACTTGCCTTTTAAATGCTAAACCCACCAGCAAATTGTAAAACCACCAGCAAAATATACAATGTGAAGAAAACCTTCAGCAACAACAACAAATAATCAACACCCATCAACATCAGAGAAACATAGAGAAACCGACAGGTACCATGAATCGCTGTGAACAAATTCTCATCTTCACTTAGTTTGACATATTTTGACATGTTTTGACCCTCCATATACCCCGAAATGAGTCGCTTCTCCAGGCACCTGATCCCCTTGATGCGCTTGCAGCTCACAGTAGAGCACCGAGACCATGTAGGGTCCATCCTCAGGGAGGCAGCGGCTGGTGATGGTTGGTGGTTCACCATGGTTCACCATCATCCCAAATTTGTTGAGGACGGAAAAAAAACGTATTGAAGTCACCAAGCAGTTTTGGAAGCATGCAAGTCAACAATGTCTCTGTCACAAAAGGTGGTGCAGTCCCTCCGAACATGCTGGAGCCGAGGCAGGATCGGATGCAGTTTCAGCTTTCAGCTCAGAGTCGCCAGTTTCATGAGCCCCTTTGTGCGGCTGGTGCTTAAAAAGTCTGTGAACAGTGCCCAGTGGAAGATGGTCCGATAACTGCAATCACTCTGTTGGAACTATGGGCAAACACAAATTTGAACGGCATGTTCTTTGGAGTAATTGTATGTAATTATTGTTACATGCCGTCAATTTCATTCAAGCGCTTTTGGCTCACTTCATCCAAAATTCAATCATCGCCTCGCGCAGCTTCAAGAAGGAATCAAACTTCTTCAGCAGCTCAGAACACTTGGCCTTGCACTGATCATCCAGGAAATGCAGCATGAGTGCCTCGCCAGATTCCCGCTGCTCTTCCAAATCCCTCTCAGCCTGTGTCACTATGGAAGCATGCTCTTGTGAGGCCCACCTGCTTGGATATTTCTCGAGCACTTCCCTGTACATCTCAGCGAAGCGCTGCCTCACGTACCTCTCATCTACTAGCACATTCTTGTTGCTTAGTGCGCCTTTGCTTAGTGCGGCGAAATGATGTGCGAAATACATGCCGACGATGGGTCCGTGTATAAGAGAAGACAGAATGGTTCCAAACACAATGTAAGTAGTGCGAACAAGACCAAACAAATGCAAATACAAATGCTGAAATAGTGCACCATACACAGAAGATGACCGGGCAGAAATGTGGATGTCATTTGCCACCATGACCTGAAGGAGGTTACGCATAACCTCGTCAACCTCATCAAGGCCAGCTTCTTCTTGCACAATCTGGTTGTAGTGGGGCACACCAGCACTCAGGATAGCATCCAAATGCTCCTCCTGCCTCTCCTCGAGGGTCTGTCTGATCTCTTTAGCCCTCGTTGAAACCCAGTACCTCTCGTTGTCTCTCAATTCCTGCACTCTGGCTGCAGCGTCAGACAAACGGTGCTGCCTCTCCTTCAGCAGTTCAGCTCGCAAGTGCTCGTCATCATTCACAGCCAGCTCGAGCACATCCATAACTTTGGCAAGGGACAGCAAGATTTTGATAATGCGGTTGCACTTGAGTTGTGCAAGAGCATTGCTTGCAAAGGCCTCCACTTTCTGCCACTTCAGGACTGCCGTTGGATGGTTCTTCTTCTTGTCTGTCATGGATAAATCCATCACAGTAGGGGTGCAGTAGTTCTGGGTCTCTTGGGTGATGTCAGCAAGCAAATTGCCATAGTCTGGAGCCTCTTCATCCGAGCTCGCTCCATTTTTATCTCCTTCGATGTCACACTTGTTCACCAAGAGTCCCAAGCTCTGCGAAAGGTTCTTCCAAGGAGAGCTCATCAACTTTTCAAAAAACAAACGGTCCGGTTCGCAAATGTCGTTCTTCACATCAATCACGTACAAAAGCGCAACCGATGAATCCGAATGACAATTCATGTACTCCTCAAGGCTCTTCAAGTGCTCCCTCTTTTGATCCAAACCAGGCAGGTCAACTAGAATCACATCAGGCTTCAACAACAGGCTTGGATGGAAGACATTTAGAGGATGAGATGATTCCTCATGTCTGGAGTTGCCGCTCTTTTGGACCATTTCTTTTGGGATAGGCTCGGGTGTGGAAGAAGCATTGTACTGTGCTTCACAAATGCGGGAGGTCATGCGATAGGAGGCAGTGGGCCAGAACTTTTCACCACCCAACAAGGCATTTGCAATGGTGCTCTTTCCCACATTGCCGCTGCCTGCTATGATGAGACGGTCCTTCTGGTCACAGATTTGACACACCTCCTGCAACTGAGCACAGGCCTTTGCGAAACTCTTGATCTCACACTCCTGACTCTCCTGACAGTTCTCCAACACATATTTGGTTTCGATCGCAAAGGGTTTCAGAGACGTTTTGATGAAATCAGCCAGGCCATCCAAAGATGTCACAACTTCCTCCTCCTCTTCCTCTGCCCACGTGACTTTCTCCCAATCTTCGGTGGACTGCTGGGAGGCGGCCTCCTGAGAAGGATCTTCCAGGGATCCCATGCCACCCTGGGTCGAAAGAGCTGCCATGGCTTCTAAATCAGCAATTTGCTGCAAACAAAGAAATGGCTATGTGGGAAGGGCCAAGTGATCTCTGCTCAATGAAAGCAAGTGACAAGGCAAGGAATGGAGAGAACGTCAACATCTCGATAATCGGATTTGGTGCATTGCCTTCCAGTCACTGACAAAACTAAAGCTGCAAAAAAGAAACCTCATCCTATCTGCCTTGCCTTTCCATGTGGCAGTGTGTCAAAACCTTGTACCCCTGGTGAACATCAAAATAGCTGGTAAATGGATGTTCATCCCACTAAAAATGGTATTAATAGGTTAGCTAGGTTCAAGATAGGTGGTAGAGGCCTTAAGTAAGATCCAAACATGTCTGGTACGTACGGCTGGTAGGTTTGGTTTTCTTGGTACGGTACGGTTGGTACATGTGGTACGGTACGGTTGGTACGGTTGGTACGCTTAGTAAGGTACGTTTGGTACGCTTACCGACCGTACCGACCGTACCAGTGAACCGTACATAACCGTACCACCGTACCGTACCAGATTAAGGGGGGGGGTCAAGGTGGGGGCGTTTTGGATGTACCAATACTACTTTAGTATTGGTACATCCAAAACGCCCCCCCCTTGACCCCCCCCTTAATCTGGTACGGTACGGTGGTACGGTTATGTACGGTTCACTGGTACGGTCGGTACGGTCGGTACGGTTGGTAAGCGTACCAAACGTACTTTACTAAGCGTACCAAGCGTACCTACCCAAAGCGTACCAAGCGTACCAAGCGCACCAAGCGTAGCGTACCTATCTTATAGCTGGATATCAAGCACCTATCTTGAACTTAGATAATTAATAGGTATTGATCCATCCCCATGTGGACATCTTCGTATCTTCTCTGAACTCAGCGCCAAACACTGTGGAGCAAATATCCGGCCAGCAGCCGCCGGTGCGTCTGCTCCTCAGTCAAGAAAGAAGTGCAAAAAGCACTTGGAGCAGGTCCGACACAAGTCGATTGAATCGCAGCGACAAATACATATCCAACCAATTCTTGAATTTCATGAAACAAAATCAATGAAACTGCATCTGACTGCATCTGCATCACCCCATACAATTCCATGAGCCACTGCATCAAACTCCCAGAAACTCACTCACAAATCACCAATCTGACAAAAGCCCGGAAGTTCCGCAAAAACATGTCCCATCCCTGGGCGAACTGACGCGAAAGGGCAAGGGATCGCACCTTGGCACTGCCGGGAAGCTCCTTGAACACATTCTAAAATTGTGTTGTTGATGACGGCTCATTGCATGTTGGTGATCCCACTGCACATACTGGTATGATCACATATAGCAAATTATAGTCAAATATATAGTATGAATACAGTAATTAGTAATAATCGTAAATAACGTGTATTTTATTGATCACACCTGTTGACAAATTGAGACTCACAATTTACTGAATATCTCTGTGTCCATCAGTGCATCCATACTCATAGCTCAACCAAATCTATGCGTTGGCATACTAGCTGGGTAGAACATATGGTAGATAGTGGAGGAAACGTATCTGCACCTAGTCAGGGCATGTTGTGGGGATTCAGGCCCTGTGAGAGGCAACATCACGATCAGCCACCCTTCATCACGTGCCACGACTTCCACCTCAGGGCTTACCTGATGCCCCCGAGATACACGGTCATGTACAGTTTCAAGATTGACCAAAGGTTGTAGATGTGTCATTCCCATCTTCCCATCAAATGTGGTTCCGATCTTCAACAAAAAAAACAAATCATTTCAGTCAGCTATATGGCCATTCTCAGTTCGTGGTTGACCCCACCCAACGGCTCCTGCCACGGCTGGGTTCCCCCAACAGAATCCGAAAGGGCGGGAAGAGACTCTGCGTCACCAAGCGCACCGTGGTGGAGATGTCGCAGACCCAGGAGGCACGTTCCTTCCGAGGACAGCGGCCACAAAGGCAGTGGTGACCTGAAGGAAAAACATGGGAAAATGGGACGAAATCATCCTAGTTGCATCTATTTGACATACAGTCCATGCAAATTGTGATTGTCTGAACAACTACTACGAGTACAATGAGTACAATGCTTTGACATGTTTTGAATCTCATTTTTGTCCGCCCAACCATGCTCGATGCCCAGCCTCTTCGCCTGCACAGCAAGATTGGAACAACCAGGCATGGGTTGGCTCTGTCTCGTTGGGTCAAGTTTGGTTTCAAAAACAGTTGTTTTCAGTTCAATTCCAACATGATCTTTGGGACATATTTGCGGGCGTGAGGATTGAACAGTTTCTTAAACAACACAAACACCATGATCAAACTTCAAGGTTTTTTTTGCACCGCAAATGGATTTTTTATGGTCACTTTCAGTCACAACCATAGTATGTTTTAAGGGCGCAAAGGGCTGTTTTCTGTTCCCATCTTTCTGGGATATGATAAGTCAGAAAATAATCTCATCCTAACCTCAAATTCCCTACTATAAAACCAGCATTTACAAATAAGGGCAGTGAGGTCGTGGTGAGCTTGTTCTACTCTGCCCAGCGAACCATCCCCACCAAGGCCCATCTAACACGGCACCTATGGAAGCTTCGCCCCGGACGCCGAAGTAGTAACAGCGACTCAAGATGTAGAGTTGCACCTGCCATGTTTTTTTTGGCACAGCCCATGGGATATCATGACTTGTAGACTGGTACATGAACCATATTGCCGATGGTAACTGGGGCATTTAAGCATGAAACATGGGGATTGAATCTAACAAACAAAAAACACATAAAGGGGGGTTGAACATGTGTGAACATCAGTCAACCATCTGGCCAATCTTTAGTGACAGGTGGATGCTTCAGAACCACCCAAAAACTGAAGGTTCCCTGACACCTCCATGTGAGGTACCAAGATGTACCAGGTTACCAGGTACTCCCTGCAAGTTGTCTGCAAGCCTCAACTCTCTGCAATTTTTCTAAAATGGGTAGGCCCAGTTTCCACATCCCAGCCTTGAAGATCTTGAACAGACTGAATTCCTGGCACGGCGCGAGTTGGTAAGTTCCAGGTTCGGCTTTCAGGTGATCCTTGGTTGCTAGGTTGAAAACAACCACCATTCAGAACCATTACACTTTTTGTTGCCAAATATTGCCATGCATGGTTTCCGCAGGTTCCAATGTGTTTTCAAATCACATCTCTCTGTAAGCGTGTTCTTTTCCCAATCTTCAAGTTCTTTAAAAAAAAACGTTTGTCCGATGATATCCCCAAACTATCCCCAAATCATCAATTTCTAGAGGGACACTGATAAAAAAAACTGTTGTTATAGTCATACATAGTAGTCATATGTAGTCATACATTTTCTGGACAAACCCATATTTTCATAGTGGAAGAGTGGAAGCGCCTGGATGTCGCAGGTGTTGGCCTGAAACTTGCAGTTGCGCACCTCAGTTCAACTCGGAGTCTGGTGACATGCAGAGCCACACAATCCAGACCCTTGCTATCCGTCATTCAATTAACGCATATATATATATAGTATATCATTCAAATGGAAATAGTTGGAAGGGTCATTCAAATGGAAATAGTTGGAAGGGTTAAATGAATGCCCAAATGGGCTACTGGTTGGTGGTGCAATAACCATCTTGAAAAATATGAGTTCGTCAATGGGAAGGATTATCCCATATAATGCCCATATATGTCATTTATATTATGGACAATAAAACATGTTTGAAACCACCAACCAGGGATTGGGCAAACAGGATTTGCCAAACAACACGGTCCAACTCCGTGGTTCCCAGGTCCAAGCTGTTCCCTCCGCAGCTCCGCTTCCCCTGAGGTTTTCGGCCACGGTGAAGGGCGAAAAAAGCACGGAGACCTGTCACGGATGGGTTCGCGGGTCGCACAAGTCATCCTCCCAGGAAAAATAACATGTTTGCAAGAAGATTTTTACATATTTTTACTATACGAATTACTTAGATTTACCCAAATTATCCCAAATTATGAGTTGCACAATGTTGCACATATCCAATCATATCCACACTTGGGGGATGTAACAAGTCAAAACCAATTTCACTTATAACACCACCACACTCCAACGTTTGGTACGCTCCAAGCAGCTAAGCCCATCATCAGCACCCAGCAGCTCCCGCCGTTGTCCCCGGGCCTGTTTTGTGTCGCCCGAGATGAACAGTCCATTAACGTACAACGAGAGGCGGACTCTTTGTATCGCCTCCTGCTAACCAATGGATGGGGTGCACTGTTTCTGGTTGGTGGTTGAGCCCTACCCCTCTGAAAAATATGAGTCAGTTGGGATGATGACATTCCCAACTGAATGGAAAACAAATCCAAATGTTCCAAAGCACCAATCAGCTGTTTGATGTGAACTGCTTTTGTGGATTTCCTCAACGATTTGCCACTTTCCGGAATGATTCGCTCATGGTGAAATTTGACCAAACTTTGGACTTTGGACCCCAAAATTTTACGCAGTTTTGTAAAGAACTGAAAGAATGGATTGTCACACTGGGATGATGAAACTATGCCAAAGCCGGTTAGCCGGTCTCCTCGGTAGAGAGTTGCCACAGCTCGCCTCACAGGAAGACAGTCGATTGAAATCGGTTTGTCCTTTACCTTATGCGCAAAATTGGGATTTGGGGTGTGCATGAGTATACGGTATACCCAATTTTCGAGACGATGCCCCGGCCTTCCCGGATGGGCTTGCCTCGAAGCGGCTGGTCCTTAGTGGACAAACAACCACGATTTTTCAGTGGCACCGGGGGGTCGAATCCCCAAAATGTAATATAGTATACTTGTCAAGTGGGAGCATCATCATGAATCATCCAAGAGATAGCAAATAGCATTCTTGTGTCAGATCCTGAGTATCAGGAACCCTCTCATGAAACTGGAGAACATCCTTTGGCAGTGGGCACAGGGAATCATCTGATAGTGATACCTGGTCATCCAAACGATTTCCATCATCAAATTGGAATATCTCATAATGTGGGCCGAAACAATCATAAACCATCCTCCAAATCACCATAAATAGATATAACATGATATAAATAGGCGGTATGGTTACCATTCCCAGCTGGTTGGTGCTTTCAACCCCTCTGAAAAATATGAAAGTCAGTTGGGGTATGACATTCCCATATATATATATGGAAAGTCATAATCCAAACGTTCCAAACCACCAACCTGCCAGTCATGGGTGGCTTATGGCATTGTTTTAACCACATGAGTGAATCCTAAAAAGAAAAAAACAGCGCCCCAGAGGCTCTGCCTGGGCTTCCCAGACCATCTCTGTGCTGTAAGACAGCATCCCCATGACCTGTGTTTCTTGTTGCGGTGGTGGATATTCACAACGGTTTTTTGTGTGACCCAGCATCTGTCAGACTTAGTATCTACATTATCCATTCACAATCATTCACATATATCATACATCATATACATATATTACAATATCATAAACTATTATATATAATGTTTGTTAGAAGAAGACTCCCTCAGATTTCCCACCAGAAAGTATGCGTCAACGCGTTTCTGTCGATACAGAAAATCCCAACATGACGACCATACTGGCAACATTTTGGTCTTCACTAACTATTAAGGTACCAGTTGAGTTGTTGACCCATCCACATCTCCCATCTAATTACTGTATAATACAACAAATTCATCTCAGCAGATTTTGGGTCACCAGTCGTGTTGTAAACCCGTCATGTTCACAGGAACCGCAAAGCAACTTGATTTCAACCATTTAGCTTCTCTCCATTTTAGCTCCTAAGTTCAAGTTTCATAGACTGGTTGGTGGTATCAATGGATTGGTTTAGGGGAACATTTACAGGACAACCCCATACTTAATGATAAAAACCATGGTTTCCTGTAAATGTTCGCTTAAACCAATCCATTGAGGGTATACCTACCCCTCTGAAAAATATGAGTTCGTCAGTTGGGTGTTCATTATATTCCCAAGATTAATGGAACAATAATCCATTCGTGTTCCAAACCACCAACCAGATATAGTAATCTTATAGTTATGATCCCAACCTATAGAGATTATAGGAGATTGTGGGTTATAAATTACCGTTTATAGTTCAAGTTTCATAGATGTTCACAGCTTTTCTCAGTACCCGCACCCTTTTAACGGAGACGCCTCCGGCATCTCATCCGGCACGTCCAGCGAACTGATGGAGCCGATGCCCACCGAGACCGTGTTGAAGCCACGGTCCTCCTCGTCCTGGGCAGTTCTCGTTCCAAATTTAGGGCAGTTTCTATGGGAAAAAATGATGATAGACCTTCAAAATTTTGGAACATCTGTGTATACTGTAGTTTTTCTGTGGGACATACTATAATCTTTCGAAACATCTATATTTTCTTCTACTCTGTTGGATTCTTTTGGCGCATTGACTGTGTAGTTTCCATCGTCGCACGTCGCCATGGTCCCGCCCGCAGTGTCCTGCCAGGCATTGCCGCAGAAACAGCGACACACGCTGGGCACAGCGCCCGAAGCGGCCATGACCTGGGTATCATCTTACTGCGAAACGTAGGGAATGGGGTAATGGGATGTTGTGACCATATTTATCCATTGGATCCTTCCCCCATTCCCTAGCCCTAGCAGTTTTTTTGAATCATTCTTGCCATGTTCTCATTTGCCATGTTCTCATATGCCATATCCTCAGTGATTGGTGTAAAAAAACAATTCGATTTTGCTAGCTCCTTCCCTTTCAAGCTTAGCATACATTGCATCTGCCACCAGGTTGGGTTTCCTCACTGAGGTTCAAGATCTCCGGGGCCCATCAGCCCCGGCAGCTCGCGCGTGGCAGCGCGTGGGCCCACGCTCGAAGATTCCCGGGCACAGGGGCTACAGCTGGTGGTTGTGGCTGGCTGTGGCTGGCTGTGGCTGGGTGGGTCTGGGGCTGGGGCTGACCATCTCATTGGTTTGGTGGGACATGGTGCCCAATTTCAATTTCCCCATGGATCTTTTGTTAATCCTTACAAAAGTTGGAACAGTTGAAAGGTATTGAAAGGTCTTCTTTAACAGAACATGAAACATGAGAAGCATGGGACCATTTTATGAATAGGCCCTAGAGATCTAGAGTATGGGGTCTTCACAGGGGGGTTGAATTGAAACTCCTCTGACTCTGACAATGACTTCTTCTCAGTTTTTCCATGGCCAAAAAGCTGCAGTGAGGCGCGCGCAGGTCGATTCTCAGCACATCGTGCCTACCGCGCACGTCCGAATATCGTGATCCGCATAGAACTGTTTAACAATGCCACCTCTAGGTACCCAAACAACCCGGACCAAGCATTATTAACCATTATCAATCATTATAAACCATGATCAATCATTATAAACCTTTATCAAGCAACACATGTAGTACAATTGACCATTTAAACATATAATTATTTGGACACGTCTTGTCATGGACCTGGAGAATCTCAGCGATTTGCCGGGCCTTGAACCACTCCAAGAGGATCCAAGTGGGAATCAGAAAGCTCAAGTATTGCATCCTGCAGCGGAACCAGTGGAACCAGCTGGCAGGGTGGCAGGCGAGGTTGAACATCTACCGAATGACAGTGGTAACCTACGAAGAAAACACATTTGGATATTGTTTATAACACTTGCCAAACGGTATAAAGATAAATTATGACAAATTTATCCTTCATTGATCCATTGTCGGCTTTACCAAATTGCATGGTGATTTGATTTAGAAATGTCTGTTAGTCGGGTTAAAACACTTCTGTAATCAAACTTCTTGATGCCGCACAACTGAGGTTTCAAGTCCGACCATGGTGCTTGGAGTCTCAACATGTGAATTGGCATTATGGATGTTGCTCAAACACATCCGAACATAGGGTATAGACATAGACGAATGGATCTGCAAGTTGGGTTTGTGCAGTTTTCTTCTGAGCAATTCACATCTTGGTGAACTTTGAAAATCATGTCATCGAATAGCCGCTGGACAGATAGTTTTGTGCTGCCGAGCATCCAAGCGAACTTCAACACCTCATTGCTGCCAGGTGTGTCCGCAAAGATATCATGTTTTATTTCACCAATCTGGGTGTGACATAGTGTTTCATGATATATTTTATTACTCATTTCAATTGGGCTTTCCATCAATGTAAACTGAGGAAAAACATGCAGCAAAACCATGAACAATATAACATGCAAGTGTTTCAGTTCAAATCCAACAAAAACAATCATAACTGGTTGGTGGTATATCTACCCCTCTGAAAAATATGAGTTCGTCAGTTGGGTGTTCATTATTCCCTATATTAATGGACAGTCATAATCCATTCATGTTCCAAACCACCAACCAGTGATTATTAACCATGATTAACCAGCATTAACCATCATTACCCCATACTAAACCAATGTTCCAGTCACCACCAACCAAATGAATCACCAACAGTGCAGTGCTTTCCCCAAGTCATCCACCTCAGTCGCCATGGGGACGTAGTACACCAGCTGTGGGGCGACCTCCATCGTCACCTGCACCTTGAAACTCTCCGAGGGCCTGCGAAGCTCGGCATGGCTGGGAGATCCCAACGAATGGGGACAAAGTGGATGAAGTCCTCGATGTTTTAAGGGGAAAATATGGGAAAGTCATAAGAGGAATTGAGGAAAATGTGTGGAAAACCATCTGGAACATTCTGGAACTGGTGATGTTTTACAACATCACCTGGAAAAAGGATTCGTTTTGCATCTATAGATGCTCCTTGAGAATCATGAGAATCCAACCTGGCAAAGCAACCAAAAAAAATCCAGCCAACCAGGTTTGAATCCCAAAGGGTGGCCAATCGATGTGCGTTAAAGACATGAGACAACCAGAAAGAATGCTGTGCCATAAAACTAAACCATCCATACCCTCTGGTAATTCAACATAGCTATTGAAAATGGCACATTTCGAAATAGTTGATTTACCAAAATTAAACATGGTGGATCTTTCCAGTTTGCTTTTTGTATGCTTACCAGGCCGGGTAACCAATATTAACCATCATTAACCATCATTAACCATCATTAACCAGGCCGGGTAACCATCCCCATTTTTTGCTCACAAAGTTTGACCCTGCCCGATGACATCGGCACCTGTAGTCCCACATGGCTGGAACCAGCTGCTCCAAGGTCGCCGTCTCATTCCTGCCGTCGCACGAGGGCCTTCATGAAGTTATGACGTCTATATGGCAGTGGGTCAAAACCCTGGTACCCCTGTAGTTCACATCAAAATAGCTGGTAAATGGATGTTCATCCCTCTAAAAATGGTATGTATAGGTCTTGATTCATATCCATATCTATTTTGTTGATGCTTTCTCAACTATCCAACATTATCCAACAAAAATATCCAACCACTCCTGTTTGGCGCTGACCATTCATCACACACTGACACACACACACACAGCATCTCCAATAAATTCTCTCGCGCTTTTTGCGAAACGATGCTTTGATATGCTTTGTACATAGGCTCACAGTGCTTCCAAGTATCAACTGCTGGCCGGAATAATCAGAAATCCAAAGTACCATGGTAGCAATGTATACATAATACATCATAATACAACTCTAACGTTTAGTTTAGTCATTTGTCAAAGATCTGAATCAAAATTTGTCAATGCTTGTGAAACTCAGGGACATCGAACCCCTTTCCCTCTTCTTCTTTTAAACACAACCAAGTTCACTATATAAATCATTTTGGACTTTGGACCCCTAAAACGTGCAACAAAACTACGTATGCTTCATGGCTAAAGCATGCTAAACCGGCTAAACCTCTTCTTCACAAGAAGAATTTAAATTGGCTATTCCGGGCTATTCCGCTCCTGCGTTTCCAACTCAGAATAAACTCACTAACGAACCATATCACCAAGCTTCTACGTCGGCAATCCCCAGTTGTGTTGGTGAACCATCCAAACTTATCCAACGATTCTATCTAGTCTGCTATTCGAATCCTCAACTGATGGTGAATGGATCCCTTTAAAGGACACATTATAAACGACAACCAATTTTGGGATCATATCTTGTTCCTATTCCACCGACCTCTTTCCTAACTGGAAGCACCATCAGCCCGCAATGACGCCAGGCTTTTGCTGCGCGACTACGAGCCATTCGCTCATTTGCCTGAACCAGGCTCCAGCAAAGAGAGGAGCTAAATGCAGGGATCTTGAAGTCATATGATGGAAGTTTTCCAAAATAGGGGGGTACCCCCACATCATCCATGTCATTAGACTATTTTAGTGTATTTTGTATAGTATATTTTAGTGTTGAAAGCCATGGTGCCTTGGGGATAACACATTTTAAGAAAGCTCCACATTGGTGATGTTGGGATCAACCTGATTCTACTCCTGACTCAGACTGACCAGCTGTCTGATTGTGACTTAACTAGTGGTGTTGTGATGTGTTGTGAATGGGCCTATCACAACACCACTAGTTACGATTGTGTCACAAAACCAGTGGTGACTTACAGTAACTGATTGGAAATCTTGGCACGGCTTCACTGAAGGTGATGAACATACCAAAAATCCCAGAACCCCCAGCCTGATCGACGGATGGTCGAACGCCAAAGTGGACGGGTATCGCAAATCTCCAAAGGTTTGCTCCTGCGGGGTGAAGGGCACTCGGGTTGGCTCAACTAACGAATTTCCCGGCACCCCCATCGTTCATGATGGTTCTTCCAACACTGGTGGGTTCAACCCGTCTGAAAAATAACCCCTGCAAGAAACAACAGTTTGGATACCGCGGTGGGAAATGGTGAGGCAGTTGTTGACAAGAAAGAACTCATCAGTGGAAATTCACCCATGACAATTGCAGCATCGACTATACGTGACTATACGTGACTATGCGCCAAAGCAATGACAATGCAACATTTCATGATACTCAATCCTCAAACTGACATAAACTGACCAACATCTCTGAACATATGTGATTTTTCAAGTTCCAAATTGGTCCTAAATTGTGACCTCTGCCCAGCTCTTGAAAACAAGATCCATGCTGCAGAATTGCGTCCCAGGTGCTAATTCACTGCGCATCTGCACGGCCGCCCTGGCAGAACAGCCATGTCGGCGTCGTCAGCGCCCTCTACAGTACCCTCTGGTGATTTAACATAGCCATGGTATAGATGGCCCATAGAAATAGATGGTTTACCTCTTAAACATGGTGGATCTTTCCATGGCTATGTTAGTCATAACCAGAGGGTAAATCTGACGAAACATCACCAAACTCTGTGAATTTTCGGACGTCAAAGTTTGACGCTTCCAACTCCTGGACCCAAAAAAAACCGCTTCGGCTCCCCGTTCCCCCCGACCGAAGAAGGAGCACCTGCTGGTCAAGCCGGCACTCTGCAAGCCCTCGTCCAGCTCCACGTCATACGCGCCCAAATCCTGGTCCGCGATCTTGCAGATTTTTTCTGGTAGAACAACTAAAGTTAGATTGTCCTTAACATAATCCATATGGATGTGGGTCAAAACCCTGTACCCCCAGTGAACCTCAAGGTTGATGGTCATCCCTTATACCACATGATTAGTAGGTTTTGACCCATACCTATATCATAACTTCATAACCCAAGTAGCTGGAACACCAAATATCTTGGAGTTTGGGACCATTGTCACATCCATTTTTTATTTTTGATGATTGTTGGGAATCTTTTGTACAGTACTTGTGATGTTGAACCTGAAGGATCTGAAGGGTCCTCCATGATCTTAGTCAACTGCGCTTGTACGAGTTCTCGGCCATGAAGCAATGATAAGTCCTGGGATGGGAACAACTTGGAGACGTCCAAAGCTTCCAAAAGAAAAGCTGCAGGAGATAGCAGGAATCTAGAGTCTTTACTTGAATCCTCTAATCCTCCTTTAATTTTGTTGTTTTTTGTTTTTTTTTTCAATGTTGGGTTGATGTATTTTATTTTTGTTTTCAAAGTGTGTTTCATGGGTTTTCATGGGTTTTCCACATTCTTCACATGACTTGGATTCGCTTAAGGGGTCCCCAAAAAATGAAAAACATATTCACTATAGATTCCCCACATGGTGGATTTTCCAAAGGGAAAATAAAAAACCACCCGACTCCCGACCTGCACCGCGCGCCGCTCACGGCGCTGCGGCTGCGTCTCCAGCACTGGAGGCATCCGCAGGGCTGGGAGCGACTCCTGTGCCAAGGGGATGGCCCGGGGAACACTTTGGGGATGGGTCAAGTTACCTATGGAATTACTGGAATTAGCATATGACTGGGGGAATACACATCCATTAAGCATCTTTTGGGGAATATACATCCAGCTATACCATCTATTAAACTCGGGTACCGTTTGGGTGCCATGGGGTTATGACTCGTAGCCATGTGGGTTTCATGTTTTACTAAGACGTAACACATTCGTGTGGTTAGACACTTGTAACCAAAGGTTGAGCAAGGAAACATTGGAATATGGTTGAGACAATTGGAATCAAACTAATGAAAACCAAAAAAAAGGGTTATAGCATGTTATAGCCATAGCTTAATATTTGGTTATAATGGTACAATCCATGATTTACAGGTGAGCCAGTGTCACCAACAGGATCAGGAGGTATCTTTGATGTTATGACCTCACTAGCTGGCTCAAACAGAAAGGTAGGACGTGTCGGTTTCTCAAACAAATCAAGTAAGCGACTAGTGACTATAGTTTTTTTCTCTGAGGACATGACTAAACAAACATATCAAAAACATTCAAAAACCATGCCCTCTACAAAACCTTTTGCCTCTTAGCCATCTGCCGTAGCCACACAAAAGGGCCTGCTCAGGCTCAATGTCAGCCTCAACGGTTCTTCGCTTCTCCTCCGCTTGCGGAAACTTGGATGCCCATTCTGTCGCCATTCAAAACCATGTTTTCACAGCCCAGTATAAAGACATGTACCCTCTGGTAAATTATTGAAAATGGCCATTTATAGTTGATTTACCCACACAAAATTGTGACTTCCCATAGTTATGTTAAATTACCAGAGGGTAACCTATTGTGACCTTGTGAAAGTGCGATGCAAGACCATCTGCATGTCTAGTGCTGCAAAATCCGCCAAACCATGTTCATTTCTTGAACACTTCCTATCTTTGAGGCAAAGCCATGTGGCTGCTTTTATGGCTAACCTCGACTATCTCAACTGACTTCCCTGCAAAACATACCACATGCAGCAGGTTTTTGCGAAAGGCAATTCCCCAGAACTGAACCATAGAAACCTAAACACCTATAGCATTTACATGGGTTTACTCAGTAGTCGTTGCTTCCCCTAAAAAAGGGGGCACCTGCATCTGCTTGAGAGTCGTATCGCAACGGCGCAGATGACCTGGGAAAGCTGCCGGTTCTCCAATGAAATCATGGGTCTAAGCCACGGCATGTTTCCTTAAGTCCTTAACAGCTACCATCTGGTTATGACTAACAGTTCGCCATGGAAAATCCACCCATGGCTATTAAGTTCGGTAAACCCAGTTGTTCACCATCTATTTCGATTAGGGCCATGGCTTAATCCCATGGCTATGTAACAGTCATAACCAGGCCGGGTACCACCAATTCTTATGACATGTTCTGGTTTGTCAATGGGATGTTAGGTCCATTGAGTTCGAGGATTTACCTATTAACAGCCTGGTGTTTTTCCGCAAACTGCCAAAAATCATCATCAGAGAGTAACCATCAAAAAGTATCATATCCCATCATATAGCCAACTAATTGCCAGTGATATGATGTACCCAGTGATTTTTTTTTGCAATCCCATTATATACCCATCATATTCCAATTAAATCCAGTGATTTCAGACTAAATCAAAGGCTAACTTGCTGGATGTCTCGCTGGATGAGGCTTGAACTCTCGCTGGAGGGCGCCTGGATGACTGGTTGGTGGTTGAGCCCTACCCCTCTGAAAAATATGAAAGTCAGTTGGAAGTATGACATTCCCAACTGAATGGAAAGTCATAAAAGCCATGTTCCAAACCACCAACCAGTATGTATATATATATATGTATGGTTCCTAAAATGGAGGTACCCCCCAAAATGGATGATCTAGAATGGAAAATCCTATCAAAGTGGATTTTTTGTGGGTGTAGAAAAACATGTCAGAATGATGCACTTCTCACCAGCGTGTCACCCACTTCACGGTGGAGAAGAACCGCAGCGCCATTCGAAGCCTGTTGGAAAGCAGCTTTGGCTTTCTCAATAGCTTCGACCTCGCCATGGCTGAGAAGTTCCATATCGAACAAAATCCCCCTTTCACAAGGTCCAAATATATATATATATTCACATCAATAATACATCAAATTGAACAGCCTTGTCATGTCGAATGTCTTGTCATGTAACCCGTGAGTTCTGTGAGAAACGAACTTCTCACCGAACTTCAGCCCTGATCTTTTCAGGTTCCAGGGGTTCCAGGGCTTCCCGGCCGCATCGTCTTTGTAGCCCAAGTGGTACAGGGCGAAACCTTGCCTTGGATCTCCGGCTGGATCTCCGGAGATCAACGCTGTGAAAAAATGAATAAAGATACATTAATATCATGGTAAGATGTTGATAGTAGTACATATATATATATATATTATAGTAGTAATATTAATTATGATGGTGTGTCATGTTTTCAATGGTAATTAATAATAGTATATTTTGTTTAAAAAAATATAGACTTATAGAATGTTGAATATGAATGATAAGAAATGTTGATGTTCATGATGCAAGGACTTATAGGCACAATTTGGAACATAGGAATAGGCATACACAATATCATACTCTGGATACATGATTCTTATAGTTTTATGGAAAAGAAACTATAGGTCTAAGTGGCTATCGTCAATGTACCAATATCAATTTTGACATCGCAGGTGATGAACAAAAATGATTAAGTTGTGTACTATCCAAGGTGCATTAAGTCAAATGTCAAGGCCTGTTACGCATGTTACCTGGAGGATTTATAAAGGTATGTTCATCTGCAAATCATGTCTTATTCCATGCACTACGATGGGGGCATTATCAATACTTATACATGCCAAAATGACGATGTGTTGCCTACAAACAAACACAGGTTTCTTGGTTGAGACGCGCATCTCAAACATTTTCTGGGAAATCTGGTTTCATCATTGCAAGCTGAAAAACATGGACGATAAATCTAGTGAAAACACATGTATCTGGGTAAATTATAATATTTCACTAACCTGAATTAAGGCCATTTGGGGATGATTTCCCTCACTCACCATGATTCCAGTGAGGTCGCAGTGAGGTCGTTATAATTTACCCAGATGTATGTTGAAAACAGCAGCGTCCTGGGTTTGTCTGAAAATATGGTATCCCCAATTCCAATGACATCGGCTGACATCATTTCCCAATTCACATAATTACCCTCTGGTAAACATACAAAAAGCTGTTGAGAATGGTGATTTGCTTCGTTGATTTACCCATTAATAGCATATGGTGATTTTACAGTTCGCTTTTTGTATGTTTGCCAGAGGGTAACCATTGGACATACCCCATCTTCAGACACTGAAAGCAATCCCCAACTTGCCACAAAGCGCGCTGCACCCAAGCGGCACTTCCAAACTCCATGCCAAATCTGCTGGTAGCCCAGCGAGCGAGAAAATCTCGGCAGCCTTTTTGGGGACTTGGCCAACCACGCATCCAGTGGTGTGGAAAGCCCCCCGAACCATCCTGGACCTCAAGATTCTTGGGTCTGTCTTGCATGTGTTCTGAATACGTCTGAAAGAACTCGGCGGCTTTCAATCTTGCCCTTGCAAGTGATCACTGAAAAACACACACCTGCACCACCCGTAGTCAGCCTGGAAAGCATTGTCCCAAGCCAGCTTCAAGGAATCCTTCGACAGAACCTGCGACCGCGGATCTAAAGGAACATGGCAAAACCCTACAAAACCGCTGACCTTTCCAATATCCCCATCCTCATTGCGAACTATTTCTTCGTGATAAATGTTGGCTATTTCTGTGTCAAAAAAACATCATTATCAAGGATTGAATTCCTCCACTTCAACTGCACAGCTGCTCTCAGAATTGACAAACATGTCCTAAGAATTGATCTCCTCTTATTATACAATTATATACAGTAATTATATAATTTTATATAATCATATATTTCAATTATATACACATCTTATTCTCATCTTATTCTCATCTTATTATCCTTCTTAAACCACATCAAACTCCATTTCTGGTCGAATTTCCCCCAGTTCCCACGGTGAAAACTCACCGTCGCCTGCAGTTTGGCCAAGGCCAAGGCTGCGAAGGCCGTCAGCAGCTGTTCACCCAGGTGATGGGCGATGGCCAAGGCGTCTTTGGCCGCCTGGATTCCGTTGGGCTGATATTATATATATATATATATATCTGCTTGGCCATAGAAATAGTTGATTTATCCAATAAAATGGTGATTTTCCATAGTTATGTTTCTATATATGCGTACTTAATTTATTACCCTCTGGTTTTTTAACATAGCCATGGAAAATAGCCCATTGATAGATGATTTTCCCAGCTAGAAACCTCCATTTATAAGGGATTTTCCATGGCTATGTTAAATAACCAGATGGTATATGAGTAATTGGTTGGCTAATTACTGATTAATAATGGTTAATATATGGTTATTATATGGTTAATGATCTTGAATAATTTATTATGTGTATATTATATATATATATATATATCTGCTTGGCCATAGAAATAGTTGATTTATCCATTAAAAATGGTGATTTTCCATAGTTATGTCTATATATATATATGAGTACTTGGTTGGTTAATTACTGATTAAAAATGGTTAATATTAATGGTTATTATATGGTTAATGATCTTGATGGTTCATTATATGTGTATATATATATAATGGGGTTCCTAAAATGGAGGTACCCCAAAATGGATGATTTATAATCGAACATCCTCAAAAAAATGGATGATTTGGGTGTAGATTTATAGTTGAACCATACCATGTTGGTTAATAAATATGAATGATGGTTCGTTATATCAATTAAGTGGTTAATACATATTAATACCATTTATATATGATATGTAATGAATGTATCATTAATTAATGGATGTGAATGGGTAGTTCAACTGGTTTAATATATATATATATATACAGGATGGTTCCAAAACGGTTCAGGAATCTAAACCGCTGCACATAAGGAACCGAACCGGTCCGGAATCGGAAAAAATCGAACCGTTTGGAATCGAATCGGATTGAATCGACCAGGATTTTAAGGAACCGGAACACAACAATAATTAAAAATCGAATCAAACATGAATCGGTAGGTTGCTTGAACCGAATCGCCCCGAATCGATTTTCAAGGGGAACCGAATCGACGGGAATCGAGGCCATGCATACCCGGGATCATATATATATATATATATCTTGGATGTTTGTATTGGATTGAGCCACGCAAGTGCTTGAGATAATTATTGCACAAGCCCGCCACCCGCCATTTTCCGTCACGGCCCTTTTCCGTCTCTACATCAGCGGATCCCTCCATAGCCTGGATCTTCGTCCTGGCGCGGCCAAGATAAAGTAACGGTTAAATTACATGATCTGGTATGTGAAGACAATTCGAAAATACGAACGATGAGGAATTTAATCTCAATCTATTGGGAAATGAAACCTATTTTGCTACAACAAGAATACTGTAATTTGAACAATAATGTCCACAAGGCGAATTGAACTATTATATGACTATGAAGGTACGGACGATTGGCTATGAACCCTGGAAAATCCAAGGGCCATCATGATTTCCATCTAAATATATCTCTTTCCACCACCAAGTCACGTTTGTAGATTTTAACAGGTTTCAGACTAGTTTCAAAGCAGTTTCAGACCCCTAGAAGGGACAGGTTTGAGGTGTAGGTATGTAGCTAGGTAGCTAGGTAGATATGTAGGTAGGTATCTATGTACCTATGGATGTATATATGTAAAAGATATGTCTGTATGTATGTATATAACCAATCCTACTATAGAATTCTGTCCACGTAATACAACTGAATCGTATCATGTTGAGCCTATTGTATTCCGGACGATTAGCTACGAACCGATGCCTGCAGATTATGATTTACGTCTTTCAGTCCTAAGCGGGCGATTGCATCACCATTATGGCCAACATTTGTGTTACCTGCCCTCGAACACCAAGGGCCAAAAGCTACCATCGGTAAAATTATGTAAACTTGCAACCCATATGATCTATATATCTGGTAGGCAATGGCACGTACCAACGGACATCCTTGTTATTGTCCGCTTCGGATCTTTGTTATGCCTCCTCTGCGAGCCGCCAACTACGCTAGCGAGCGCACCTGCACTGTGCACCAAGTGTTGGTGGCGAGTCAGAAGGAAGGAGGCGATCCAGGTACCTACCCGGCTGCTTTGCTGGTTGCTGCCTTGACCCCAAAGTGACCATTGGCAGTAAACATATA